CCACATCGATGTGTTGGACATTTTATTATATTTGCTCGCAGACATTTTTGCTCTAATACGAAAATGGGATTTTAGGATATAAAAATTATGATAGATTACCGTTGCACACTCCTGCACACACACACGCACATGCTACTGACGTGACTTGGCTTTGTTTGGCGTTCTTTGGAACTGCAATTGCATCGTCGACGTCACCATGAAAATTGCGCCCAGCTTAGCTGAAGAAAATCATTTGATGATAAAAGTGGCCCCTCAATTGCTTTGTTGCTTGTTGGTCTCTTCGCTGGTTGGCTTTTATTAAATTCAAGTCTGAAAACGCAGTGGAAGAATGCGGCAAATTGTTGGCTGCCTGCCGCAGTAATAATAATCCATTAGATAAGTACTTTATTAAAGGACGATCAAAATTTAACTGCATTGTACGCATTTGTTGGCGAAGCAGCTAAATTGGTTTGCAATCAAGTTATTATGGTGTCAAATAATATATATTTTACCTGAATAATATGAGAAATTCTATTCTCACATTCTATAATCGCAGTCAAAGAACTAAATATTTTTAAACCAATTTCGGAAGCAAGAAATTAGGAACTAATTAGGAAAAGTACACATAAAAATCGAATGCTATTACACATTATAAGAAACTGTATTGAAAGATTTGGAAATACTATTTATAATTTCCCACTAATATAAATCATTTTTTGCTTATTTTTCAATTAAGGATCGTTGCTTAAGTGTTTGAAAAATATGAGTTTATCAAAAGCGCCCTAGGTGTGGCGTGTAATTTAATAAATATCTTTTATAAGTCATTTTATGAATATGACGATTTATTAAGCTAAAACAGAAAAAGTTAAAAATGTTGAACTAACTCTCACGTGGCGCCATCTATTGAGTTTATGCTGCAACGTCCTAGCTAACACGCAAACCGCCAAGCAGCGCCCCCTGTTGTACACCGAACAGCGCCCTCTATCTCAACTTATTTAATAATATGTATAAACATAAACAATTGCCGTGAACACATAAAGAACACATTTTAAAAAATTAGATATAATTACTAAAAATACAACTGAATTATTTAATGAGCCCAACTCAAGACGGCGGCACTCAAACTCACCTTAAAAAACATCATGCAAAAAATATGCACAATAAAAGTTCAGTTTGCGAACTTATGATATAATTTACCCAGCTCAAAAACTTGAATTTTTCTAATTAAAATGACAGTTCAAGCAAAAAACAAAAAACAAAAAAACGACACAGTATAATAAACGATCTCAATTGTTGCTGCTATTATTGTTGCGAATTAAGTTGAGCAAAAACCGCTCCAAAAAACTGTTGAGTTAATTAAAAGTTTTTTGCAACTTAAACGACAACTATATAAACGCCAAATCATTAAAATTACGAAATCAGACCCATCTAACAATACTAAAATCTACAACTAATTCGACTTTGCTATGCTCTACCCAAAGAGAGCAAATTTATAGAAGATTAAATAAATGTAAGTTATTAAAATAAAATGTAAATGAATTCATTCAGTTCAGTTCAGTTTACTAAATTTCATTAACAAATTTAATACGAATAATACACAGAAATCACTATTTTTAATTTTTCTAAATTCACAATCTAATAAACTATAACTATAAAAACTATACAAATTGAAAGCCAATGTTTATAACACATTAAATTTTAATTATAATAACTAAAGAAATAATTATTGTTTTTGAATTAATGTAAAATCAATTTTACCTATTACTCATAATTCGTAGTCAGCTTTATCATTATTAAATCGAATAAGTTGACGCATGAATAGTTATTGCCCTGTGCCTTAGGCCAAGTGTGACGATGGTCGGTGCGTTTTGCTAGTATATTTACTGCAAAATAATTATATTTTAATGAACCACACACATACAAAAGACAAGAAGCAAGCCAACTATAACTTCGCGCAAATTGTGTTAGCTAAGGTCAAATTGCGATTAGCCAAGAGACCAACTTGTGGGCCAACGTCTCAGCCAAATGTAATGCTCGCAACAAAGTACACTTTTTTTTAAATTTTCTTTTTCTATAAGGCTGTCCGTCCAATTAAACACAGCTTGTGGCCCCCATCGGTGAGTCAGTAACGTGTGAAGCAACGTCTGATCGCCTCTCGCACGCCTCAGGCGCCCCCCTTTTCGACTCACTACGCACCTGTCAAGCATCGCGTGCTCCGTGCAAGGCGCAAGAGAGCAGCTTAGCTACAAAAGCTAATGTTGTCTCCCTTGTACCGAAACTCCCCCCTCCCCTCCCTTATGCCATGCGACAAAATTTTGATTGTAACAAGTGGCCGGTGGCGAGTTTCAGTTCAGTTTTTGATTCAGTTTCAGACGAATAGGAGCCGATTAACAGCGCGCAACAAATAATAGCTGTTTAACTTGAACAACATTTCAAATGTTAGTCTCAATCAATTAAAGAAAACTTTTTCGTGTGTGTAAATGTTAAAATTTTGTGAGCTTAGCCAATATCAACGGACAACTGCTTGAAAATAAACAAGAACCTTTCAGCATAATTTCGCTAAAATGGGTAATTCCAGTTCCATTTGTTCCGATCGCAATGCCGTAAGGAATTTCGATGAAAATGGGTAAGAAAGCAGAAGGGAGTAAAGCAACGCAAGCAATGATAAACGAGTGCAGTGCGACAGCCTGCAAGAATAACGGAAAAACGAAATAAATGCCTTGACTTAAATTATAAAAACAATTTAAACCTTAAGAAAAATTTACATTTTTACTTAAGAAAGTGTTATAAGTTTTAAAGAATGTCAATAAGCAGTGGGATTTCCTAACAAACTAAAACTCTTACATAAATATAAAGATTTAAATTTATTAATAATAAAATGATTAATTTAAAAAAAAAATATTAGAAACTGCAATTAAAAAACAAATGTTTTATAGATAACTTCAACTTAGAGTTGACCAAAATCCAACTAAATAAATTAATTAAGTTATTGAAAAAAATATGCAGTTTTTAAGTTCTTTCAACTTCGACTTTATTTCAGAAAGTGTTTCTGCCTTAAAGATAAATTTAACTAAGGGTTAACAAAAGTTGCTTTTCTTTATTTATTTTTATTTGCTGCAAATTTCAAGTACTCTCAACTTGAGTCAAGCACTTAATAACACTTATTTATAGTTGGGATTTAAGAGGGCCTCAACGAAGCACTTAACACATTGTATTTTAGCCGAATTAATCTGATGGGTAACAAGCTGGTAGCTGTTTTCATTAGAACCCCCACAAAAAACTATCAAAACAGTATTCAGTAATCCTTACCACTTCATGGTCAACAGTAACTACAACACACACACACGCAGAGCAGGGCGCATGACCCTGGACACGCCCACTACGGTTCCCAATAGTTACTGTTTTCTCTGCCGATTTACATGTATAAAATACAACCGATATTCACGTTTAACGATGCGTTTTACCAGTTTTATTAGCGATTTACTCGTGATTACAATGAAAAAACACCTGAATTTCGGATAAACACAGTGCAGTCCGCCCATTTGTTGTTGAACTATCAGTGGGCGTGGCTGAGTAGCAATTAAATTGATGTCGCTACGTTACAAAGCCATTAACTATTAAATCTCTTGCCCAACACAAAAAATATGTATAGTCTAAGGTTACGATTGAAAACAATCACAATTGCTGCTGCTGCTGCTGCTGCTACTACTGCTGCTTTTGTTGTTGTTGCAATTGCTGTTGCCATGAAATCCCCAATCATACAACAAACTAAACTAACCCATTAATATTTATGTATGAAGGCTACACACCTGTGTCTAATGTTCCACACGCAGTTTACTTTCAATTTTTGGCATTGGCTTACTAGACCCAGGTGAACGGAGGGTTTCTTACACCTTAAATAATATCAGTTTCAATTGCACATTTATATATAATATAATAACATGTGCATATTTCAGTTAAGATTGGAAAATTCTTAAATGAATATTTTGTTAACTACTCTTTTGAGTAGTTTTCAGTTAACAAATACTAAACTCACTGTAAATAAACTAAATACAGAACTGGAGAAATTTAGTTAAATTTTCTTTTTTGCTTATTAAATATTTATATTTTCGTTTTAGAGATTACATTTTATTTTTTATTTCATTTATTTTCTATATTTAAAATCAATTTAGTTTTTGATATTATTTAGGTTTTATTTGTAGTTTATTACCTATTCTTTTGTGTAGTTTTTAGCTAGATAAGTCAGCATTGCTTTTAAATTAACTAAATACAAGTTTTTAGAGTATTTTGCAGACAATCTTAGTTTCTCCTTCTTGTCACGAAAAGGATTTATATTTTAATAATACAGTTATAAAAGTTGAGCCAAAAAATGTTACAGTGTAATTTCGTTACAAAGTTGTATTTCCAAATATATGTTTTTAAAACTGATAGATGTTGTATATTTTTGCATTCTATCTCCAAAATAGCTCTCAGACAAATAATTGGTGCAAATAAAAATTCATATATATATATAAAGATAATTTTTTCGACACTAGCGACCAACTGTTTTATTTACTGTTATATACATATATAGGGCACTTAATCAGCTTCACTCCAAAATTTAACAAGTGTTTTGCTTATCTAAATGAATATAAAACTTTACTATACGTGACTTGCTTATTTATATATCTTAAAGCTCAACTGACTAAGCAGATATATTTTACACTTGCTTTCGTATCACTTCTTATTGAGAAGGTCCCCTTTGATTATTCTGCGAATTGTTTACACTCTCAAGCGAAATGTTTTTATGCCCTGATTGATTGCCAGCAAAGTCATTCGGCTCTGTTCTGTTCTGTTCCGTTCCGTTCTGGCCTTATCAGTTTGCAGTGCATAATCTGCTGTTGTCCCTTTTTGCCCCTCTGCCGTCATTGCTCTAAGCAATGCTAAGTAAAACAAAAACAAACATCGGCGAAAACTGTTAAGTGTAATAGGAAAAACAAAAGCCTCAGCAACAAATCCCCTGAAATAGTCATTCTCAGTTGAATTTAAGTGCTCCAACGTTGCGGTCAAAACGAAATTGTGTTGGACTCTAGCCATAAGCAAAGCAAATAAATCGGCAATATACATAGTTTATAGTATAGTATACATACATATATATACGTATATATATGTATATGTGCAAATCAGCAGACGCCAACAGACGCCAAAGCAATCAAATTGTTCAGCATGTTTGCTTCTCTGCAGCGCTTATCCGCACTTAAAACCCTTGGACGGCTTAAGATGTATATATATATATATATTTGCAAATAATATAATGAATATATGTACAGATGGCATCTGTACTTACGTATCAGCATCATTATCACGGGTGCAAAGTGGGCGTATCACTTTTGTGCTTATCACTATTGCTGATTTGTCTGGCTTTTCATGCAAAAATCACCTGTTTCAGCAGAGTTTAAAATCCAACATCGATTAAAAATATCTTAACTAATCACTCTTCATAAAAGTTAATTACTAATTTTTGACGAATTACAGGCATAAGTATTATCGATTTTAAAATTATATTTACAAATTTAGAACTACCAAAATCAATATTTCCAGTGCATTTCAAAATGTTGTACACAACATTTATATTCTTTTTATTATATTCCATTTTACTTCGAATACTTCCAGAATGCAGATCTTATGACTTCTTTTAAGATTCTCTAAACCCTAAAATTTGTGAACAGTTACTTTACTATACCATGGATTACATTTTCCAAGTGTAATTAGACTATGGTACCAGATTTAAAAATATCTTGGTCATCACTTAAAGAGTTCACTGTTTTTAGAACTTTCCAAAAAGTTCTTTAATTGGCTATAATTGTTATCTACACAAGCCCATTTCTGTTCCCCCTCTTTCGCGTATATAAAGTGATTTTATGCTGTCAGAGCAATGTTCGTCAGATATAAGTATAACTCGAATAATTGAATTATGCCGGGAATCGAGCATTTGTTTTACCTACCCTCCAAACACACACAGACACGCACATCGCACTCTGCGTTAGATTCACCGTTGCTCTCTTTCTCTCTGTCTCATTCACAGCACGCCAATTTATCCAACGGCCAATAATTCCTACAACCCTTCCAATGGCCAAATAACACCGTATCATCAGCAACAGCAACAACAGCAGCAGCAAAATGAGCACGGTTATTACAAGACCACAATACCCGTTGGCGTTGGCAGCGGCGCTAATAGCGGCAATGGCAGCGGCTCTCACTGCTCTCACTGCCAAACAGCTGTTTTGTGCTCACGCGCACTCGCACCCGAGACAACCATAAGCAACAACAACAACAACAAATCAGCGACAACAACACAGCTACTCTCCCACACAAACTCACACACAAACATAAACGCAAGCACGAGCACAACCAGCTGCGATTGTGCTGCTACTGCGAAATGGCGCAGTAGTCGTGTGTGTAAAAATCATACGACTACAACGACAACGCTCGAATATGAACTTTCCAATTTTGCAAAACTCAAAACACAAATCAGTACGCAACGCGACGTTGACGAGGCAACAGCAGCACCAATAGCGACAGCAACAGTAGAGGCAGCTTTGCCACCACCAATATTATCCTCAAGCCACTGGCAACAGCTACAACAGAGCCTCAACGAACTACACCATCACAATCAGCAGCAGCAACTACTAATTGGCAATACCAGCACCAACAATCTGCAACAGCAACGCAACTTTAGCACGATGAGCAACAACAAGGACAATGATCTGCAACGCGATCGCCTCGGTCTTTGGGGCACCGGCGACAATGAGATCGCGGGTAATCTATCGGGACTCGATCGTCTGTACAACAAACGCTTCAGCAAGGTAAGTTCTACCCCCTTTGTCCCCCTATAAATAAAGCCACGGTTCCCAAGAAGTTGTGATGGAAAAATACCAGAGCTGAAAGCGGGGTTGTTTCCAAATATCTATGTATCTATGTAATATATATGTATATGTATATGTACTATAACTGAATATACACATATACAACCATACAAAGTGCCGCAATAGAAACTTGTTAGACGCTACACTGCGAAAAAAAGGGGGGCGTCTACCAACAATAACATTTCGCCAAAAAATATTTTGAATCCAGAATTTGTAGTTGGTCACGATTAGCTCAGCTTACTTTTTAGCCACACTAATAGATATTTTGTTTAAATTACTATTAATTTCTTATTTTTTTTAATTATTGATTTCCACGCACAAGTCTTCGACTAATGCCTAGTTTTTGTTCGCCAATTGCTATTTTTATGCAAATGTCGCATGGATGCTTAAAAAACAAAACTCATAAATAATAATAAAATTGACATTTAGCACAAGTGTCGGCTAACAATTTTAACAAATGAAAAAAAAAACTAATTCTTTGAACGTTTTGTTTGACCTTTAGATGACATAGCTGTCCCAAAAAAGAACAAAAAATAGAAGAAACACGTGCCGCATGGGAACACCAAAGTTCGTGTGTATTTTATGAGCATTCTTTTATATAGAGTTGATGTCATATAAAATCAATAAGTGGGCTATTGAGTCTATTAACTGAGAACTCGATAAATTGACCAAGCAACAATTAGCCACCTGCAACTCACAAAAATTGTTATCACAATCAACTTGGTTTCATTGTCTTACACTTCAAGTTCAATGCCAAATTGCAGAGGCTGTTTTTTGCATGGTTCTTTTTCCCCTGTTGTTTTGCATATTGCTCTTCCGCTTTTATCATCGTCATCAGTCATCCGTTGAGAATTAAACTTTTGCATTCAGAGAGCAATTGCGCAAGCGAGAGCGAGAGCGAGCAATGCGCATGAGCTTTTAAAAGCTTGTAGGGTTTGGGGTTGCAGCTCAATTTTAATGTAATAGGCTCTTCAAACAAATTTATAAACATATTAACACAACTTTAGTACCTAAAGGTAACTCAATAACTTGTTATCATACATTTATAAATCACACAATTGGGCTTTCATATTTATTTTACCCTTATGTTTTTTATTTTTGTTTATCTTTTGATTGCTTTCGCTGTTCCGCTCTTGGAGCAACAGCTGTTTTATTAAAGCTCTTACGAAACAATTTATAGTTCCACAATGGAAAGTTTTCCCATTCTTATCGCATCGCATTGGAATGCATTCTACTGAACAACCCACAATGAATAAAAAAAAAACTGACCTACGTTAAGCGACGTGTTCTTTATTTTCTAACTTGAACTATATAACAAGTATTTATGTACTTTCGCATATACGTAGGTGTATTCAAATCTATGCACCAAAATATTTGTTCAGATAACAACAAATGTGTTAAATAAATAATTTGCATGTCTCGCTCACTTATCCGTGTGATTTTTTTTATTTATTTATCGCTATAGGAAATTAAAGCAAAATATAAACGATAAGTGAATGAAGTCGATGCTTAAATACGCTTTATAATATATTCATCAATAATATTGTATTATAATATAATATATTAAAAATGATTCGTAGACATTTTAATGTATTTAAAATTGGGTATAAAGTCGGCTGTCAAAGTCATCAAAGCCATCTATAAACTTGTATCTAATTAATAGGGTCAAAGTTCTGCATAAGTTAACGCTATGAACTTAGTTTTATCAATAGTTCAATATGCAAATACCATTCAGACAACCTGAGTAATACCCCACTAAGGAATAGCTTAAAGTGCAGCAAACACAGCTTGAATCATGCCGAGTATTTAAAAAGCAACCAAAAAAAGTGACTTTGGTTTTGTATTCAAGCCATTGAAATCGCATCCCATTATGCACACACAGCGTAAAAGCGACCTTTTCACCGTTTCCTTTTGTAGCGGAAACAATTTGTTGGAAATTGTGTCTCTGGTGCCATCTTCACCATCATCTGCTTTTGTTGTTCATTTCGTTGCTTTCGTCATCGCTTCAAAGTATGGCTGCCCACTTAATTATCATGTGGCGTTAATCGCCGATGGCTAACCCCTGATAATGCATATGATGATCAGACACCAGACACCGCAAACATCAGCTGACATTTGTTATGGTTATTTATTTATTTTTTTTGTATTTGTATGTTTGTTTTTGTGCAATCGTTTTGCTGCAACTTCTCCGCTATGTTTCGTGTTAAAACAGTAGCCAGCCAACTGTTGCCAGGCAACAACGATCTCTCATTCAAACTGCTTAGATACATGTTTGTTTTAAATTGTTTTTTATTTAATCACCAGTTTTTTCCTTTTTATTTTGCAATATTTATCATAAATGTTTAATTTTGTGTAATCGTGTACCTACTTATGAGATTCACTGAGAATTACTGTCATCTTTCCGCTATGTTTCATGTTAAAAGCCAACTGTTGCCAGGCAAACCGATCTCTCTCTCATTCAACCTGCTTATCGTGGCAGCAGCGGCACCATTTCAATGTCAATGGTGTCGTTTTCAACGGTGTCGCTCACCCAATCACGAATTTCATCACCGTCGACGATGACGTCGCATAAATATCGTGTTGTTTTTTTTTTGTAATGTTTTCAAACATAGTTGTTATCCGATATATTAAATATGATTTTAAGTTGGACGACGTGCCGTGATACTTGAAGTGTTTGTTGTTACTTTTATAAGCTCCATTAGCGCCATTTAAGCTAACAGCTTCGCACTACTTTTGCACGCAGTCGCCACCTCATGCGTCGACCCTCCCTTTCTGTTCGTGCTTTCTTTTTCGGCACTTGTTTTAAATTGCTACACATTTTGATTAGATTAAACATAATAAGTGTTCTTTGGTTAGTTTCCACTGCACAAATGTCAATTTTCACAAGTATTCAGGGCAGTGCTAAATATATAATTTGTCATCGTTGTTGTTTTTGCTTCTGAGCTAAGCTGTCAGAAAAATTCCCCAAATGACGCACTCATCTTTGTTTTACCTGTAAATTTTAGCCAACATAACTTTGCGTTAATACGTATTAAATTATTGAGGTTCGTTGAAGTGCTATTATTAGATCGAAAAATTGTTGTATTGAAAATATCTTTAGAAACTAATCTATTTGAAGTACAATTAAACATCTGCCCCAATGCATATGAATATATAAACAATAAAAATTGAAACAAATACCCCAATATATAAACAAAACCGTCAATATTAATCAACAAATTGCATATTGCATAATTTATATTATTGTTTTGCGTATTTCTCCAACAATTTGTTGATTTTATTGGCATCTATTCTTAGTTCAGTGCTAAAATTGCGTTCATAAAAGATTTTGCTATAGTTTCCCTAAATATAATGAATAATATGTAACCTAACTTAATATAAGAAATTTGAAATTGATATCATTAAATATTATGCACTTGGTCTGATGTTTTGTAAGCTTCAAAATACGAAAAGATATTTGTTTAAATAGATGTCGACAAAGGGCTTAATCAGTGAATGTTACACAATGCATAAACGTCTAATTGTGATATGGGATATTATATAATATATGTTATTATAAACAAATGCCTTGTTAGCAATTACGTAACAATTTTAACTTAAAAACTACACATAAAACGCAAATGAATATTTATTGTTTGTAATGTCACGTTTTGCACACATGAACAAAAGCCTTTAAGGAATGCCAGAAACTGTTGCCCATCTGCTTTAAAGTGCATATTGTCAGGTAGTGTCGGATATATATGCGCCACAGGAAGTTGCACAACCCAAATAGGTACAGAAAAGCAACCGCAACATAATGTGTATGTAATTGTCTTAGTTATACAACAGCCTTTAAAAAAACAAAAATCAGTTAATAATAAGGCTTTGAAATGTTTGAAATTATGCTCAGTATTTGGCAGCATATCGAGGTCAGCGCTGAGTCAGCTTCAATTCCACTTTCAAATTGAGTGCCCCAATGCATTTGAATACCGGTTCGTAATCGCATACTTATATATGGTCCGTTAGACAGATTCAGTATCAATATATCATATACTGTGTTTGACTTTGAACTTCAAACATATTGCGACTTGAGATGCTAATCTCCCATTTAACGCCTATCTACTGGCTAAGGTCAGTTCAATTCGGTAATCAGGCCACGAGCACGCGCACGGCTCACGACTCACGACTGATCGTAAACCCCAATCGAAAGTCGCCCGATGATGAGACGAGACAGGTTGTCTCGGGGCGCGTGCTTGCGCTTGATGTGCTCGACAATTCAATGATAAGCGTGGTGAGTAAAAACGCAGTTCTCACCAAATGTTGCGCGCGTGTCTCACATGGAATTGGAAAGCGTTCATTCGAAGCGAATATCGATACAAATCGTTTTCCGATAGCAATAAGATATACACTTGTAAAGATATAGTCTTCCAAATTGATATCCGATTGCAAACTAAGACTCATTTGTAAAGATATACCGTTCTAATTGATATACTACAACTGCAAAGTGTAAGAAGTGCTGCCTAATTGTAAAGCTAATTATCTATCCTTATATGTTATAAGTAGTACTTCAAACTGTTTTTATGGCCACTTGCTAGATAATATCATGAGAATGTGCTTGCGAATTATTTCTGTACTGAATAAATAGCATGTAAACTTAATAATCTAATTACATTATATAATAATAAATAATAATAGCATCATTAAATTAGATAATGGGGAACGTAACAAAACCCAACGAATTATATAATAATACTACAAATTTCCACTCTATTGAGTCGGACTTGTTCGTGTCATGACTATAATTGAGACTGAGTCTCATCTGTTGCCAATTGTAAGTAATCCACATTGATGCCTCTCTCTTTCGCTGCCACTCTAGGGTCTAGCCTTCACACACGACGAGCGTCAGGTGTTGGGCATCCATGGCCTCCTGCCGTATACGGTGCGCACCGATGAGGAGCAGGTGAAGCACTGCCGCTTGTTGTTGAATCGCCTGGAGAACGATTTGGACAAGTACAACTATCTAATTGGACTGTCAGAGCGCAATGAGCGTCTCTTCTTCAAGGTGCTTAGCTCGGACATTGCTCACATGATGCCGCTGGTGTATACACCGACCGTGGGATTGGCATGCCAGAAGTACAGTCTGGTTTTCCAGAATCCCAAGGGCATGTTTATCTCCATCAAGGACAAGGGACACGTCTACGATGTGCTAAAGAACTGGCCCGAGATGGATGTGCGTGCGATTGTTGTCACCGACGGTGAACGCATCCTGGGTCTGGGCGATCTAGGCGCCAATGGCATGGGCATACCTGTGGGAAAACTATCGCTATACACGGCTCTGGCCGGCATCAAGCCGCATCAGTGTCTGCCCATCACATTGGATGTGGGCACGAACACTCAGTCCATTCTGGATGATCCCCTCTATATGGGACTGCGTCAGACTCGCTCTACGGGCGATGTCTACGATGAGTTCGTCGATGAGTTCATGCGCGCCTGTGTGCGTCGCTTTGGCCAGAACGTTCTCATCCAGTTCGAGGACTTTGGCAATGCCAATGCCTTCCGTCTGCTCTCCCTGTATCGCGACAAGTACTGCACATTCAATGATGATATCCAGGGCACCGCTTCGGTTGCCGTCGGCGGTCTCTTGGCCTCGCTGAAGATCAAGAAGACAAAGCTGAAGGACAATGTGATGCTATTCCTGGGCGCTGGCGAGGCTGCTCTCGGCATTGCCACGCTGTGCACGATGGCCATGAAGGAGGAGGGACTCAGCGAAGAGGAAGCCAAAGCTCGCATCTGGATGGTCGACAGGTAAGACAAATAAGAGATTTTAGAGCCTATAAGCTATATAAACCAATATTTCTCTCCTTGCAGCCGTGGCGTGATTGTTCGTGATCGTCCAAAGGGTGGCTTGACCGAGCACAAGCTGCACTTCGCTCAGGTCAGCTCTCCAATTGATACACTGCTGGAGGCGGTGACCAAGGTGCGTCCGAATGTGTTGATTGGTGCCTCGGCACAGGGCGGCGCCTTCACCAAGGAGATTCTAGAGAAGATGGCCGAGATCAATGAGACACCCATTATATTTGCCCTGTCGAATCCAACCATCAAGGCTGAGTGCACCGCCGAGGAGGCCTACACTTTCACAAATGGCAAATGCATCTTTGCCTCCGGTTCACCCTTCCCTCCCGTCACCTACAATGGTCTCAAGTTTTTCCCCGGCCAGGGCAACAACTCGTACATCTTTCCGGGTGTGGCACTGGGCGTTCTCTGCGCCGGTATGCTAACCATACCCGAGGAAGTGTTCCTCATTGCGGCCCAAGTCCTGTCCGATCTGGTTTCCAAGGAGGATCTGGACAAGGGCAGCCTGTATCCGCCACTCGAAACGATCGTCAACTGCTCGCTGGCCATTGCCGAGAAGATTGTGGAATATGCCTTCAGCAATGGACTGGCCACCGTATCTCCCGAACCCAAGAGCAAATTGGCCTTCATCAAGGCCCAAATGTACGATCTCGACTATCCGCGTGCCGTGCCCCCCACCTATCACCTGTAAATAATTCCGGCCAACGTATCTCCTGTCCATGTCGTACTCAGTTTGCCTGCTGCATTCCATTTGCTACGAATTTAGCCGCGGGCATCAAAATGAAAGGAACAAAAAACCATGAAAACAGCAACAACATGCATATGTTATTTATTTTATAGTGTCACACATCTTTTTAGCATCATTTAACTCACATATATACACACAAACACTCCTTAACTGCCCCACCCAACACTCTATTTTTGTTTGCTGGCCCAAGTTAATATTTGATTGAAGTTTTTACTAAATTGAAAGTTACATTTTTATGATATGATAACGAGATCTGTATGTATGTAAATGGGGATATTAATCTGCTAGATATCTTTATATGTATGTTTATTAAATACAAATTCTATGTAAACGTGAACACAAACTATGCTAAGTACATAAGTATATACCGTAAAAATAAAAATATAAAAAAATGAAGAAAAAAATTCAATTCTAAGAAACTGTTGGGTTTTTAAGCGGCAAAAGTGACGCACCTGCTTTGGCGGTTAGACAAAGAAAAATGTTTATTCAATGAATTCTTATAGTTGGGGTATCGAGCGCAGTATTGATATTGTTGTATTGAAAACTTTTTGCACGAAGTGATAACGAATATCTATATACTTTCTTCTTGCATAGTAATCTGGATTTTTAACAACGTTTATAGCGCTCAAATTATCAACATGAATTACAATACTTTTCATATTTCTGTATATGTTCATTTCGTCACATAATTTCCGAATGTAAAGAGCTTCTTTAGTTGCTTCCGATATGCCCATATATTCGGTTTCAGTACTACTTGGTGCTACTGACGATTGCTTCCTTCTTTCCCATCATCAACGTAGCCTTTGATGGGGTTTCCAGTTTTAGCATAGGTTATGCCCATTGAAGACGTCGTACTCGTTTTGCTGCTATCCAGTGCTCTTGGTGGGGATCTGTATTCCGTTGGGACAGCTTACATACTGAATGTAAAATGTCAGGTCTGGATTTAACTGCCAGGTACATTAATGATCCGATCAGTGATTGGTATTCTGCTTGGTCGACCCTTTTGCATTGTTGGCGCTCACATTTGGCGAAGTACCCGAATGCCAATGGTACTGATTCTGGCCGACACTCTTCCATGTCAAACTTCTTAAGCAGTTGCAACACATGCTGCTGCTGTGGGATTATTATTGCCCCTGTTATGCCATTTCTATTGATTTCCATACCAAAGAAATTATGTATTGGGCCCTTGTCAATTACATGGAAAATTCGAGATATACTTTCTTTTATACTGGCCAACTCATATGTTAATGTGGTTTTGTGTGTGCGATAGCGATAGCCCATATAAGGACTATCGAAGTTTAAGAACCGACACGCCTTTTTCTTCAAGCTTGCGGGCATGTTTTATGTAAACATCCTCCTGCAATTCTCCGCTTAGATATGCCGTGGATACACCAAGTTGGTGCACTTGTAACTCCAGTTCAGCTGCCATGGCCAACACCATCCTTATTGTCGCAACCGTTTCGTCGTAGTTCACTCAATGTTGTTGGCTGCAGCCCTTTGTCACTAGCCTAGCCGACATTCGGCAGCAATATGGCCAATTTTACCGCAATTGTAACATTTCATTTTTCTGTTTCGGTTCTTGCTTACTTTAGCTTTCTTATTTGCGATCTCTGCTTAAAAATGTATGTGTATTATTTTCAATCACATCCTTTATATGCGCTTCGTTCTTGCGTCTATCGCATTCATCGATCAATTTAAACTTCAAGGTATTAAACTTTGGTAATTCATCACGTGATTCCAAGGCTACAACCAGATTTTCATATGATTTGGGCAAACTTGCCAAGAGTAAAATAACATATAATTCCTCTTGCAGCGCAATGCCAATCTCTGATAACTGCTGCAGCGTTTTCACAAAACTTGCGATATACATTTGCATGTTCTCATTCTCGTTCATCCGCATGAAAAGTAATCTCTTGAACAATGTGACCTTTCTCACTGAACCGGTAGGCTGATGCACTGCCTTTAGGGTTATCCACGCACTCGACGCCGAATCACATTTCTCAATGTGATCAATCTCAGAACCTCTTATTGAGCGAGTGATCGCCGCTAAAGCCTTTTTGTTTTTTGATACCCACTGACTATATTCACTCTTCCTGTCTGAACTTGGGCATTCCATAGCTCCCGAAGTGACGGACCATAGCTCCTGGAGAATTAGCACGCTTTTCATTTGGACACACCACGAATCATAATTTGTTTCGTCCAACTTGTCTATATTGTACAGCGCACTCATTTTTCGCTCGTACTTGTTCTCACACAGAAAACTTTAGTTGGTATGCAAACAGCAATATAAATTATGCGATTCTAATGAAAATTTCACTCGATTACATTCAACTTTTTCTTCGATAAGACAAAGAAGAAGTTTTGATCAATGTATTCTTATAGTTGCGGTTCGAGCGCAGTATCGATATCCCTGTTATTAACATTAGTAATCGGAATCCTGTATTGACCTTTTACAGATTTTCAACAAAAACCACAATTTCAGTGCTTTTTATTTTACTAATTTAAAGTTAAAGTCGATTAATGCTCTACGAAAAGTATATTTAAATGCGTTGAGCAAATCGATAATGTCTTTATAAATATTTAAGATTAAGAGAGCACTTTAAAATGCAGTGTGCATAATGTATAATTTTTTAAATCCAACATTTTATATATACATCCATTTTATATACATGTATGTATATCCAAAGACCGTATCGAAACCAAAACATCGTAGTGAAACATCATTTTAGTCGATCCAGTTAGTCGAAGAGATGTTAATGTATCTGTGGTATATAACGGTCTAGCTCTTATAGTCTCCGGGATCCGTTTGCTCATCGACTCTGCTGCTGACGCTGCTCACAAGTTTATATACCTCACGCCACAATGCCTTCATTACACTCTTTTCCTCATTTTTAATGGGTTCAGGGGTTCTAGGCCCGCCGAAGATTACAATTCCTTGGAGACATAAAACAAAATACAAATATCGACCAAGGTAAGTAAATAATATTTATGTCCGATATTGATAATTCCATAGCTTAAGTGAAAGAAAGCTCCTTGCCAGCTATTATCACCTAATATTTAACTGCGTATCAGAGCTTATCGCAGTTAGTTACGCCCACCTGGAATGTTCTCCCCTATTTTTTCCAAGCCATGACTACATCAACAACAAACTGAATTTAAAAGTGCAGTGAATATATAATTTATTGTAATCCATTATGTTCAGCAAATTGTGACAAATATTTAACATTACGATTAAACAATTAAATGTTAATTGAGATTAAAGCGGCTAAGTGCCCCACAAAAACTACAAATATAGCCTGGATCAGGTCTATTGTCGTGAATTGAGAAATGTGAAGAGTCGATAGGCCAGCTGCATAATCTAAAATAAGACAATTTGTTATTCATATTGATTCAGGAGTAAACCTCAACTCACATCAGAAAAGTGCGTCATGTTGACATCCATTAAGCCATAGGCTGTAATCTTTTTGGTACATTGTGTGTATTTAAGCCAGATTAGAAACAGTTTACGGTACTTCTTGCTGCCCATATACCAGTTTTGATTGTAAATAGCCTCATTTAAGCGAGCGGACTAAAAGGTCAAGAGTTAAGGAGGAGTTAAGGAAATCATTATAACATTGTTAAACTTACGGCATCCTCCAGCTGTGTGCCTCTTAGACAAGTGTCAAAAGTAAATGCGATCAAACTCAAAGTGACCAACACCTCTTTGAAAATCATTCCCGGATCCTTCACATCTGTCAGCAGATACAAATGGAAACATAACGAAGCGGCGGCCACAAGATCCGTCATGAGGATTGCCAACTTAAAAATATCATTGAACTTATCACAAATCATATTGAGCTGCTGCTGACGTCGAATCAATCCGAAGATATGTTCATAGAACCAATCAGTCGAGCTATCCTCGGCATCGATGGCCTCAAACTGCCTGCTTAAGTAATCCAGATGCATTATGATCTGCGTATGTATCCCATAGAACATAGTATCGAAACTGTTGAAGAAGGCAACACCCACTAGCACAGCATATACATCATATATCCACACTAACGGATATATCGCATGATTCTGCCTCAGATCGAAGGGCAGATAACCGCCAATCAACTGATGTTCAAGCAATATCGGCGCATTGCGATCCTCATAGGTGATTATATAGGTAATCGGAGGTGCTAAACAGAAGAGGAATAAACTCATATCAAAATATAATGACAAGAATTTTCGTCGCTGCTGAAATTGTTTGAACACCACGTCGACACCGACCACCATCTGCTCCTGCAAGTCGCGTGGAAATTCCTTATCCAAGTCGTTCAGAAAATCGATCATATCGTGACGCTTAATGAAGAGCGATACGCCGCGAATTACGAAATAAAATCCCATTGTAAGCATGGGCGGATTTTGATGGGAAGGCTCGCCCAGGTGCAGCGATTTTAATATGTCGTATGCGTTGCCGCCAAGGAAAACGGTGTCAGCAAATAAAAAAGTCGTATAGAAAAATAAATCCGACTTATTAAACAAGCGTCCATTTTCATTGCGGGCGAATTTGAAGTGCAGCAAGTTGAAAAATTCCTGATAGTGGATAAATTGCAAGAACTGCTCAAATTCGATGGGTTGATTTACTGCGTCCATCGCCAGACACGTTTAGTTATCAATCTTTGGAGCCACTATAAATTCCGCTTCTATTCGACACAGCCTTTTTATGCAAATCAAACACCTGCCATTAATTGGATAATCAACGCCTGGCAGCAGCTTTAATTGCCTACATTTTATGCAGCCAGGAGTTCATTTTATAATTTTGCTTTTAATTGTTAGTTAGCAATTACTACTTAGTCTACTGTATAATAACTAGGTGATGTCTAAGTTAGTCTGAGGAATGTGAGAATATTAAAGGACTTTTTATGGTGCTATATATATATATATATAAGGAATTTTTCTGTTTTTATTAAATCTCTTGAATTGTAATTTAAATTTTAAGTTATTCGAATTATTTTTCTTTAAATTTTAAATTTAAAAATTAAATATTTTTCAGTCTTTATAAAGGTATTTGAAAAGAAAAGTATTCTTGTATAGTATTAAAAAAAAAACACCCAAATAGAATAGGTAAAATATTCTTATTGTAAGTATTATGTATTAATGTTAATTAAATAATGAGTCACAGCGCCAAACGCATAAAAAGCATCTTCTTTGGCACAGAATAATACCTAGACTTAATTTACTTAATTATTGTTTAACAATAAATAATACACACATTACAAACATACTTTAGAAGCATACGAACCACAATTTTTACATTAGCAGCATTAACATTACGAGACCTATCCTCTCTTTTGACTACTCTCTTGCCATAAACTAATAGTGACTGATCGGAGTTTTCATTATCTGTAGGGAAAATAAAGAAGTTATCGATAAGTAAAATGTCATAATTATATTTTATACAATGACATAGCCGAAACTCTTTTTTATGTATATGTTTATTCAGTACCTCCGTCAGTTACAATTTCGAAATTTTTATTCTTCCAAATTAAAGTAATCGTTTTAGTGTGTCGATAGGCTGCCGTTACGAGCTCACCATGCGTTAACGTTACTCAATTTTGCGTTAACGTTTAGTTTTGACCATCGCATGGAAGTCGCTGTATTTTCGAGCGTGACAACAGCTCGTCACAGTTGTTCACTGCATCCCTGGTAATTTTACATGAATAACGTAAATATTGTTAAACTCGCAATTGCTGTGCAAAATAATTACGCAAATAATGGAAAGGTTAACGGTAAGTTGAAAGTGCATAAAAATTGGTCAATCAAATAAATGTAAACAATTTCCACATACACACACACACAGGCTAGTTTTGAACGCCGTCAACTGGCCAATGAGCTGAAGCAGAAACAGGTTAGTGAAAATGGGTGAAAAATAAAAGTGAGACACACAATTAACAAGACATTTTCTAAATATTTATAACATTAGGCCATAACCGATCGCCTGCTGCAACAGATACTCTACTCGAAACGGTTGTTGGTCGATCACGTTGAGGCACTGGAGCAGTGCATGCAACAGCATCCGACTGCGACGCCCGGCCGGCAATTGCTGACCACGCGGAACGCCTGCCTGGTACTGGGCGGCACAGTGCTGCAGCAGCTGGTTACGCCGCGTGGTCTTCGATTCACCCTGATACCCACCATCCTAATAAGCAGCACCTTTGGAGCCCTGTACGCCGTGAAGAGCGTTTTTGTGTGCCGCAACAAAATCGTTGAACGCAAACTAGAGGAGCTGGTGAAGACCATCGATGAGTTTGGCAATTGCATCAGGCGGAACATGACCTATTTCCAGGAGATCATCATTATGAAGCAGGCGGAACTCATTGAGTAAGTGCAGCGACTTAAAACTAGAGAATTCATTTAAAATTTGATGAGAATCTCGCACGTAGATCTCGTCAAATAGAACGCGCCTGGGACTGCATTACAGCCGCGAAGGAGGTGACCGAAATCCTCTATGATGCCACACGCAAGCTGGAAATTGATTATCCCCTGCCCGCCAAATATGGTCCCTATTATGCACCCATGGAGGAGCTGCGCGAATGTGAATACTTTAAGAATAATGTGACGGATTACAGTCCCAAGCACATAAAGGTGAGTATTCCTATAATTATTCTGGAATTGGAATTGATAACTATCGTCTAGCATATTGATTATTATTGATCTCTTTCTCGTACTCCACAGGACTTTCACAACATATTTGCCTATGTGCAGTCGCAGTATTTGTTGCGCCTGGCGCTGACCATCATGACGCGTCCATCGATTTCCCGGCTCAGCGGGGATCTGGCGAAAATCGACAGTCTGGTGCGACAGCTTGTGCAGGAGGAGGAGCAACACTTTAAGAATCTAGCCCTGACCATGCAGAACAAGAAGCAACTCGAGCTGGCGGAACTGCATGCGACCAAGACACAGCAACAACAAAGCGGACCCATTGCCGTATTGCAGCATTCATCCTTGAAGCTGAGTGCCTGCATGGTGGCAGTGGCCGCCGAGTGTCAGGCATTGGATGTCACCTTGCAACAGTTGACCGCCGCTGAGGCTGCTAATAAAAACAATGCCGATCAGCTGGTGGCTGTGGCCAATAATATGCGTGGCATTGAGAATGCTTTGGCCGTTTGCTGTGATGACTTCCAGCGTTTGATGCTCGTCTACAACAAGTTTCTGCATAGTAAATTGGATTTGGATCTCACTATGCCGCCCAATAGCAACGCATCAGCCACCAAAGACGATGAGTTCCCCGAAAGCATTTTACGCGTGGAGTTCTCGCAGAATCCCAGCGAGCCGCAGAAGTGCGATGACTTCTATGCGTACATGTACGACGAGGCCGAGGCGCGACAATTCGAGAGCGAGCAACAGGCGGCGCCGTATCCCACGCCCGAAAAGGAGCTGCTCAACTTTGAGAAACGCATTACGAAGGGCAAGTTCAAGCCGGTGCTCAGGCAGCTTAAGGATCGCATTGATCCCATACGTCGGGTAATGCTTGAAAAGGAGCGCGAAGTGCTCGCTGCCAAGGGCATCAATGTGGATGAGCTCTTTGGCAAAATGGAGGAGCAAGTGGAACAACAGCAGCAGGATAATCGCCTGTACGATGCGAGAAGACCAAGCGATGGCGATGCCATCGCAACCGACTCAGAGTCGGATTCAGCGGATGAGGCATACAGGGAGCGGAGCAAGCAAGTCAAGGAACGCGACAACTTTGCCGAAATGCGTCAGTTTCTGGCCCAGAAGCAGGCCGTCAATCTGTTTGCATTGGACTCGCAGATGCGCCAGCTGCTTAGCCAAAGCAAAGACACAGCAGCTGTGCGGGCAGCACAACCAAAGCCAGCTGGCGATGAGGAGGTGCTAGAAAGCGAGTGCTAGACGCAAAACAACACAACCTTTCATTACTCACATTATCTGCTCTGATATGTATTTTATCTATAGAATTTTTAAGATAAGCGGCACAGCTGCGTCAATGCGACTTCTACAAAACAGTTTGTCATTAGCTACTGCCTCGGTTCCTTTATTGCCTTCTTCTAGCTTTCTTCTTTTTTTGCTATACAAAATGCACAACAATAAAGTAGACAATAGAGAATTGTATGCAAAAACATAATCTCGATTTTAAGATGTACTTAATTATAAATAGGAATCTTATGAAATGTGAGATTTTTAAATATCAAAAAGCAAATCTTTTTATTATGTTAAAATTCTTACTTGTTTTAGTTTTAGAGTCGAAAATTTAAAGAGCACAAATATTGTTATGGAAAACATATGTTTAAGATCTTAAAACCCCCACAAAGAATAAACATATGCATATATATTCTTGTTCCGCATCGAAAGTGGTGTCAGTCAGTCAGTCTGTATTCTTCAAAGCAAACAGATGACTCAGTTTTTTTTTTATCTAGGTTAAGGTTTATGTAGAATATAATTTTATTTAGATTTGAAGCGAATAGATATTTTTATGAAATGACTAAACTTATGCATCAATATTCATATTCAGTATCAAAATCGGGTTAATATAATCAGTCAGCCTGCCTTCTTTGAAGCAAATTGGTGACTCAGTTTTTGATGCAGATTGACATAGAATCGAATTTGACAATCGGCCACTACATATATCAAAGTCGCTCAGGTGTGATCTCCAAATGTATATTTCAAACTATCATGATAGGAACTGTCATTTTACCAATTATAAGTTTCGTTCTCACTCAAAAGGATGCAAAAACTCGCAAATCTTTGCTATACAATTTTCAGAGAAAACATTAGTCAAAAAATGATTATGAAAATTAAATGATTAATATATGTATATAAAGCTAGATGTCTACAAGCATATAAATATATTTTCAGAATTACTCTAATATGTAAAATGAGCTCAGGAACATACACAGTACGGCAACAACTGAGAAACGTAGAAAAACATTTGAGGCAATTCAACTGATCAGGATTATTATTATTATTTTTTAGTAATATTTTTCCGGCAGCTATAATCAGACTGTAGCAGACTGTGTCGCCTTGTCCAGAAGAAGAAGCAGTTTATTAGGGCAATATAAGAGTGGAAGTCATCCCCAACCTGAAAAAGAGAGCTGCTGGGGGCATCCTAATAATAATACTTTTCAGCATATATAAATATATATATTTTTTTGTTGTAATGGATATAAAAATGAATTTTATTTCACAATAATTAAAAACTATCGAAACTTAAGTACAACACAAACAGCGATGGCAACACTAAGGCACTAGGATGTGGATGTGGTGGCAGGACTCCTTCAGAGTAAGGAATTAAAGATAAGATAAGATAAAACATATATATTATTATATACATAGAAAATGCAAGTGCGCAAAGTCTTTGTTAGTTGCTGCAACACTTTCGTGGGCATCTTTGGCTTATACTATAGTTCGTGCAGCAGCAAAGCAACTGATCTCTTCTCAGGCATTTGGAGCACCCGTTTTGGCTGCGGCGGCGGCATTGTTGAACTTGCTGGTTACCGAGACGGGCTGCAGCTGCGAGAAGGCGGACAGATTGCTGCCACGGACGCTGGTGTAGCGTATGGGCTGAACTCCAAAGTCGTTGCCCTTGAGCCGACGCCGAACGCAGACGACGACGAAGCCAATGATTAAACCAGCGACGACAACAATGCTGGCAATGATCACGGTTAGTATGATGTACCGACGACGCAGGAAACGTGGCGGATCATCCTCGACAGCGCGATACTTCTTGGGTATGACCATGTTGCAGATTTGCTCGGACGTCAGATTGGTCAGTGGCATGCCAGCTAACAGATAGGGTGTCTCGCAGCGGGCCACCGCATCGAGAGATTGGAGCACCTGCGGAGCACCCGCATGCTCCAAAGCCTTGAACAGATCACAGCTGCAATACCAGCGATTGCCGGCAATCGCGAACTTTTTCAATCGTGGCCAAGAGCTGGTGGAGTTCGCATCTTCGCTCACGTTCGGCGAAAGGGAGCTCAAAGCATTCTGTGAGATGTCCAGCTGCGTCAGATTGCGACTGTGCAGCAAATTGTTGAACTCCAGTCGCTCCAGCTTTGGATTGCGTGCACAGTCCAGCTGCTCCAAGGCAGGCAGCTGCAAGGCACCCTGCTCAATGGAGCGGAGCATTGGCAACTCACTGATGTTCAGTCGACGCAGTGCAACCAGATTCCGGAAACTTTCGGCACCTATTTTGGGCAATGGATTCCCTGCCAGATTCAGTTGCAGCAGAGATTTGCCCAGCTGCTGAATGCTGGCCGGAACGAGGGCAAACTCATTGCCCGAAACATCGAGGAACTGCAGATTGCCCAGATGCGAAAAGAGCTCGGCAGGCAGCGTCAACAGGCCATTGTGGGAGAGATCCAGGCGCTGCAGACTCGTGATAGATGCCAGTGCAGCAGTCGTCGCTGCATCCAGCACACTGAGACGATTATGGGCTAGAGCCAGTTTGCGAAGCTGCGGCGTGTGCTCGAAGAGTTTGCGATCCAGCCGGGAGATACGATTATGGCTGAGTTCCAGATCCTTGAGGGCTATCGGCTCGTATTTGGTGGTATTAAAGGGCCCGCGAAACAGTTCCGGTTTCAGTGCGTCATCGCCAATCTCATTCCAGCTCAGGTACAGACCCTCCACATTCGGCACGTCCATGAAGAGCGGTGCCTGCAGCTGCTGCATGCCACAGTGCCGGCACGACAGCGTCAGCACAGCTCTGGTGGCAGGTAGCTGTTGCAAAAGGCGAATATTGTTGCCGGAATACGAGGCGACTATCTCCATGCCACGATGATCCGTGCCAAACTCACTGGGCCAGCGAGCGAGAATATGCTGAAAGTTCTTCATGGCACAGTTGAGAGTCTGGTGGAGGCGATGATTGCTATCCTGGGCACTCAAACAGGTGCACGTCTCGCAAATGTTCGTCACGTGCTGGTAGGGAATGTCCTCGTGCTGGGCAGCCACCAGATGCAGCAACAATGCTGCACTCATATTGATCATCTACAAGAAAACAAGAGATAGGAAGAGATGGATTAAGTATTTTAAAAGTAAGAATACAATTTCCAGTTTGCGGTTTTCAAACATATAAAAATGTAAGGAAGGCGAAGGGATGGGGGGGGGGGGGTCATTGTGATTAATATTTGTTTTGTGGTCTACCAGTTCGACCATATCGAATATCACCTAGTAATATCATATTCACAGATAAACCCATTTTATGATTGATCATTGTCTTTCATATGTTCAAGTTTAAAACACATTTCCAATCTTCAGGAGAGCTTCATCATTGGGTGTATTGGACTTCAATATACCCTTTACAGACTCGAATATTTAATTTAGCTTCTAATACTACAATCTTTAGATTTTTTTAATTTTTGCATAAACTGATCAAATTAATAATGTTTTCTTTTTTTTATGGAAAGCAACGACTTTTATAGTTTATATTTAAGGAATTTGAATGATTTCTGACCTCAAAACACTTGTAAGAGAAAACTATATTGAATTTAAAATATAGCTAAATATTGCATTACTTCAAAAACAAAATATACATCCACAAAATGGTTTCCCCCAACAGAAAAGTGGGCACAGTATCTATGTCAAAAAATACATACACAAATCGAAATGCTTATATACATATATATGTATATATATATATATATATATGTATATATATTTATGTAGACACAACTAAGTTGGAGCTTCAATGCTGACCCCAACGGAAAACAATTGCAGATAAGATAAGAATAATGATCGAAGTTTTTAGATAGTATATTTTTTTGTTATTACTTACCAACAGCAAAAATTTGTACTTCATTTTGTAGACGTAGTTTTGTATTACGTTTTATATTTGTTTTTGCTGATTTATTTTTTTATTTTTTGGTTCAATTATAAACAATAATGTGCACAACTAAAAAGATCTTTAAGTATTAATTACATGCACTGCTCGAATTGCATTTGAATTTTATTCTTTCGAAGTCGGCTATTTAAATAACGCTGCACTGCGAAATTCAGCGCCACGACGAGCACTTTTCAAATACAGAACTGACACTAAAGTCGAACAAAAAATATAATCAAACCGCAAACCGTGAGTGGGTTGGAGTGGGTTGGTTGGTGGCACTATTTGTTTTGATTAGATATCAGCTGAGAGAGAGAACCATTTGGCGGCGCTCTCTATCCCACACACCAGCAAACACACACACACACACTTTCGCTCTCAGCGAAGAAGTGGATATGCATGCAGTAAGTACAGTGTGTCTTGAGTAAAAGTGAATTTGAATTGAGTCACCAACATATTGTTTTCATCTTCAAGGTCGTTTAGAATTTGATGCTACTGCACACAATTCGAAATTCCCAGACACTGAGATTTTGTTTTGTTATTCCAGTTGGGAAATAATCGAAAGAATGTATGTGTGCCAATTATTCCAATAGATAAGATAATGAAACGGTGACAAGCAACAGCAACAACAACAACAAGAGCGCTCACACACGAGCAGTTGACTCAGCTGAGATCTTTGACACTTGATTCACTTGGAAAAGCGAACGCAGAAAGAAAACAGAACAGGAAATATGAAAGAAACGCCGCTGACTGCTTGGCCTATTCAATTAAATTGACGACGGACCAATTGCAGCAACAACAACATGTGTCACCCGACGTTCCATTGAACTCTGCTCAATTTAGACACACACACACACACACAGGCAAATTGAGTTGTTTCCGAGGCGCATGCAAATTGATGCTGAGCTGAAAAACAAACAAATGTTTGTGGTCGATCGCCAAGTGGAAATTGGTTGCATAAACATTTGCCGCCGGCTGCAGACACACTTATTACTGTCTGAGTCATCATCGATCAATATTTGTTGTTTTCGTAGAGTTTTGTTTTTGAATACAGAGTATTGTATGTTTGTTTTCCAATGAGACACGTACAGTTTGAAACACTTTTCAGCCTGCAATTGAAACCCGTTTTTTATTGTTTGTTGTCGTTGTTGTTGTGGCACTTTTGCAGCTGCCTTCGCTGATGTTCATCCTCGTATTCTTGTCTCTTAAATCACAAAGCTCGAACCGAAAGCGAAAACGACAAACGCAACAATTGTGTTCGTTGCCTGCCCGCTGCTCAAATTGAACTGAAACTGGAAATCGTTTTAGTTTCAACAGCAACCAAAGCAAAGCAAGGCAAAACAAGCCATTCATTCTCTGTACAAGTTGACTTTTAAGCTGTCTATCGATTCCCGTTCCCACAAGCTGGATGAAGACCTTCGCACCCCCCTGGCTTCCCCTCAAAAAACCGGTCGTTGTCCGCCGAATATTCGGGCTATGGCATGTTGCCTATGCCACAAGAGTGTTGCGCTTTTTTTGGATTTAATATTAATGTGTGGCAGCTGTTGCAACAGCAGGAAATGTGCTGCGATCGTCGTGCTGAGCTCGTTAATCGCGCTTCCGGCGGCAAAATTCAAAAGAGACGTAGTCACTTAATAATTAAGAACAAAAACATTTATACGATTAAAAGCTTAACTATCTCATATGCATGTAGTAATCGATTGCCGTAGAAAATGCCGCAAAGCCCAAACCACCAATGATGCCCGCCTTGATGCCAGCTCGCAGTCCAATCAATCCGCCCGTAATTCCACCCGCATACGTTCCATTGCGCCAATCTGTCACGCCACGTTTCTATTGAGTAAACATATAAAATAATTGGGGATTGGAGATTCGAGACTTATGTTTGTCACTTACACTTTCGATGGTACACTCGACTATAGAGAAGACGGCGCCAATCAATGCGAAATTCTTCGCATAAGAATGTGTTGTGGAGCGCATCTCGCGGAATACTTCGCGCGCCGTCTGTTTCTTCTCGTTGGCAAAGGGATCGGCCATGTTTGGATTCACGGACGCACTAAACAGACCCAAGGCGGCACCCAATCCATAACCTGCATAAAATATACATAAATATAAATGGATAATTTATTTAGCATTTGATGCAATTTACCCATGACACAGGCCATGGTGCTCTTGAAGGCGCAACTCTCGACGGCAGTCTCGATGAGTTTCTCCTCATTTGTCTTGATTTTGACGGGGCCATTTGACTTGGGAATGATGATGTTCTCCCGATATCTGTTCATGTTGCCCACAAAATGCATGGCCATTTTGTCCAGCTCGGCAGTGTCTATCAGATGCGGCTTGGCCGAATCGCCGCCCTTGGGATCAGCGCCTGGCATCAGCGACATGTTTACTTCGTATTAAATGTTGTCCGGTTTAATACAGAATTTACGAATAAAAAAGAAGGAATTAAAATTTATTTTATACGGCGTGTTTCAGCTTTCTGAGTTGTTATCACATCGCAAACAGCTGGTGCCTCAGCGTTGCCAGATAGCACACTTATCGAGTAGTAAACTTAACGATTCGTCAAAAGTTACCAATATTTAAAATTGGAAAATTCCTACTGAAATTGGTTTATAACTTAATTATTAGTTTTTATTGCTATCACAAGTTGATTATATATATACCAAAAGTTGGGGGAAAACATACAGAAAAAATTGCAATTTGTCGGAAATGTGTCGAATTGACATTTTGTTAATTGAAAGCATAGATCAGCAGCAGGATGACACAGAACGCGATAACTGCGCCCAGAATAAGCGAATCGCGTCGCTTTTTGATATTGATGCGCTGAATGAGACTGCAAGACAACGAAACATTCGATTAGAACAGCGCTCACAATCGTTATCTATTAAAGATAGCTTACCTGGATATCAAAGGAAAACGATTGGAAATGTCATTAAAACGAGTCTGCAGTCGCTTAAATGCCTGTCGTTGTGCATGCAGATTATCTCGCGTCTCGATGGCAATATTAATCTGATCGTTAACCATGTGGCCGGCACTGCTCAAATGCCCGCTCTCCTTCATGTACATCTCGCGCCGACTCAGCCCCGATATCGATGGACTACCACCCGTGGCCAGACCCGAGCCACGCAGCAGTTCCTCGCGCTCGATGCGCATCGTATGATTGGCACCGATCTTGTTGTACTCCTGCCGGTAGCCCTGCAGGATCTCCCTGTGCCGCTGCAGCGTATGCATCGCTGCACTTCCACTCGCAGGCAGCTCTGACATCGACTCATTCAGCGTCGACAACTACAAGGCACAAATCTGATTATATTTGGTTGCTCATTTCTTGAATCTCTTCGTGTCACCTTATCGAGCATTTGCTCAATTTCCGCTGACAGCGAGTCAAAGACATGTTCGCCCAGCAGCGGTGATGTGTCAGCAGCAGCAGCGGAATTGTTGCCACTCAAACTGCTGCTGCTGCCTGCTCCAATTTTGCTGAATGCCACAAGTTTGAGGTCGATTTCGTTTTCCAGAGTGCGCGCCTGCTTGCGTAGCACTTGCAACATAATAACCACAAAATCAATTGTACATTTTAACAAATTTGTGTTTTATTTAAAATACCTACCATCATAGCTATTTCCAACCATTTGCATTTGTTGCGAACAATATTTTTACTTGCATAGACAATAATAAAAAAAAAACAGCTAGCGCTGCTACCAGGGATGCATTAGAATTAAGTCTAGTATTTTTTTAGGCAAGTAATTTATTTAAATAAAGTTTATTTAATTTTTGAAAATGTCTTTCTCTGTCTTTAATCGGAAAATATATACAATAGACTATACTTTATTTTTTAAATATCCGAAAAATTTAACATTTTCGTGGTATTTTCTAAATTGTTGTCGATAACATATAATCGATAGTCGCAATCATATGTGAAAAAATTGAACGAGTTTTGTTGCCGGCGAAACGTTGAATTTATTAGAGCTTAATTTGTAATATAATTGCACAATCATGGCCCAAGCGCAACCAACAAATGACACACACATGCCCGATGAGGAGAGCGATCTGCTGCAAATCAAACCGCTGTAAGTAAGCAACAATTAAAAATGAGCGTCGATTAAATCTGGCTTTGGTTTCAGTGGAGCTGGTCAGGAAGTGGGACGCTCCTGCATTATGCTGGAATTCAAGGGCAAAAAGATAATGCTGGACTGTGGCATACATCCGGGTTTGTCTGGCATGGATGCGCTGCCCTATGTGGACCTGATTGAGGCGGACGAAATTGATTTGCTGTTCATATCACAGTGCGTTTTCAGGCATAATATTTGTTAATATATATCTATTACAAGCTTATCCCTTTCAGTTTTCATCTGGATCACTGTGGTGCTCTTCCCTGGTTCTTGATGAAGACCAGCTTTCGGGGACGTTGTTTTATGACGCACGCCACGAAAGCCATTTATCGCTGGATGCTCTCAGATTACATAAAAATCAGCAATATATCCACCGATCAAATGCTATACACAGAAGCCGATCTGGAGGCGTCCATGGAGAAGATTGAGACGATAAATTTTCATGAGGAACGCGATGTGATGGGCGTGCGTTTCTGCGCCTACAATGCCGGTCATGTGCTGGGCGCAGCGATGTTTATGATCGAAATTGCTGGCATCAAGATTCTATATACAGGCGACTTTTCGCGCCAGGAGGATCGCCATTTGATGGCCGCAGAGGTGCCGCCAAAGAAACCGGATGTTCTAATAACCGAGTCCACATACGGCACACACATCCACGAGAAGCGCGAAGATCGCGAGAGTCGTTTCACAACGCTAGTGCAAAAGATTGTCCAGCAAGGGGGTCGCTGCCTGATTCCGGTCTTTGCCTTGGGTCGCGCCCAGGAGCTGCTGTTGATATTGGATGAGTACTGGTCCCAGAATCCTGATCTGCACGAGATACCCATCTATTATGCCTCCTCGCTGGCCAAGAAGTGCATGGCCGTCTATCAAACGTACATCAATGCGATGAACGATCGCATCCGTCGCCAAATTGCCGTTAACAATCCGTTTGTCTTTCGTCACATTTCCAATCTGAAGGGCATCGATCATTTTGACGATATTGGGCCGTGTGTGATCATGGCTTCGCCCGGTATGATGCAATCGGGCCTGTCGCGCGAACTCTTCGAAAGCTGGTGCACAGATCCGAAGAATGGTGTCATTATCGCCGGCTACTGTGTGGAGGGCACACTGGCCAAGACAATACTCTCCGAGCCGGAGGAGATCATTACCCTCTCCGGGCAAAAGCTGCCGCTGAACATGTCCGTCGACTATATATCCTTCTCGGCGCATACGGACTACCAGCAGACCAGCGAATTTATCCGTCTGCTGCGACCCAATCACGTCGTCCTCGTCCACGGCGAACAGAATGAGATGTCCCGCCTGAAACTGGCGCTGCAGCGTGAATATGAAGCGGATGCCAGCACAGACATAAAGTTCTATAATCCACGCAATACGCACGCCGTCGATCTCTATTTCCGCGGCGAGAAGACAGCCAAGGTGATGGGTCATCTGGCGGCCAAGAAGCCAGAAGTGGGCAGCAAACTGTCCGGAGTGCTGGTCAAGCGCGATTTCAAATACCATTTGCTTGCACCCTCGGATCTGGGCAGTAAGTATTATCTATTATAACTGACTGATTAATGAATTGACACATTGATCAATTATATATATTTATATCAGTTTTATATTTATTACAGCTGAAAGATTGTTGAATGAGAAATTTATGTAATCATTGATGATGAATTACATATATATTTATATTCCAGTAATATATATTATTAGTGACAAATATCTAATTATATCAGTTATATTATATTATAACTGACTGATTGACTGAATGACAAATAGATTTACGCATTGATGGCCAGTTAATATATAATATATTAATGTAATATATATTTGTATTATTTGATTGAGTGAATGACAAATTGATTGATGGTCAAATCTTTTATTATAATTTCCGTGATAAGGATTTCTTTAAATTCAGGCAAAGTTGTTCATCTTTTTGCTAATCCTTTCAACCCACTTCGATCTTCCAACAGAATACACGGACATGAGTATGTCAGTGGTGACGCAGCGCCAATCGATTCCGTGGTCCAGTTCACTGACGACACTGCAACTGCTGTTGGATCGCATCGGCGCTGGCTGCGTGGAGATCGTTGAGCCGGAGCGCAAGTTGCGCGTCTTCAACTGCGTCGAACTGACTGTGGAGCAGAAGATCATTGTGATGGAATGGCATGCGACGCATGTGAATGACGTCTATGCGGATGCCGTGCTCGCCTGCCTCATGCAGTCCGAGCTGGGTGGCACAAACATCAAGGGCGCCACCAAGCAGACCAAATCGGAGGAGTCCCGCTTCCGCGAGTGCCTCATCGAGACGCTGCAGGACACCTTCGGGGACACCTGTGTGCCAAAAATGTTCAAGGGCGATGTGCTCCCAATTACGGTCAGCGGCAAACATGCCGAAATCAATCTGGAGACACTGGTAAACATGGATGTGAAGTATATAGGGATTAAGCCACTTCAAATTCACAATCTTTAATTGCAGACTGTTCACTGTGCCGAGGATGAGGTGTTGCGCCAGATGCTTAACACCACCTTGCAGAAGCTACATCAAACACTGGTCTCCGCCTATTAATTCCAACCTGAATGTGTGAATCTTCTTTATTATTAACATTCAATTCCAAATGGTGTACAATTAAAATTCAACTCGAAGACTTTTATTTAGCGTGCCGTTCGAGTCTTTGCTATCTGCTCCTTGAGCACCAGGATGCTGGCACGCTGTTCCGGTGGCAGCTGGGCAATCTGATCGTCGGACAATTGCAGCACCTGCATGATGAGAGCGGCCTTCTCCTGATCGGAGGCATCCGACGGCAATACGCCATGGGCGCCCAGGCGACTCTGGAGCTGCAGTGCCGCCGACTGTTGCTGTTGTGTCACTGACTGCTGCACCTGTGGAGGCGGCTGTTGTTGCTGCTGCTGCACTGGTCCAGGCGGCATGGCGCCACGTAGACGCGGATCCATCGGACGTTGGCGTGGATCGCTCGGATAGGGAATCGATGGTGCTGGTGGTCCTTGCTGTTGCTGCTGCGGTTGCATTTGAGCGCGAGTACGCGGATCCATAAGTGGCGGCGGCACCGGATTGGGCATTGGTCCACCTGGCACCTGACGCATATCCTGATCCAGGTTGCGGGCGATCATGCGCGGATCCATGCTGGCTGGACCACCGGACACCATACGCAAATCAATATCGTTCGAATGCATATTATTAAAGCTGGGACCGGGCACAGGCATGGGTCCCGGTCCACCCACAGCGGATTGTGGGGGTGGCTGCTGTTGCGGCGGCTGTTGTTGCTGCTGCTGCTGTGGCGTCGGTATCATTGGCATAACGCTGGGATTGGGATGTGGATTGCCACCGAGAACGGGTGGCATTTGATTCGCCTTGAAAAGCATGCCCAGCGCCTGCTGAGGATCAACAATGCGCATCACGACCATGGCCTGCAGCAGCGCATAGGCCAGCTGGGGATTTAGCATGAGCATTTGACGCGCCTCGGACGGATTGCTCACAATGCACAGTTTCATTTGCTTCATCAGCTCGTACATTTGCTCCGGCGGCAAAGATGCCACTGTTTTCGTGATCAATTCGGGCGCATCGTCGGGATCACAGGGCTCGCCGTATGGGTTCTCCACTTGTGGTCCCTGCAACAGCTGTTGCATCTCCATGCGTGACTTCTCCGTACAAGCATTGTCCACGCGCAGCGTTCGCCCTCCGATTTCGTAGCCATTCAGGTTGCGCATAGCACTCAGTGCAGTCTCTTGATCCTTGTATTCGCAGAAGCCAAATCCCTTGGGTTTGCCGCTCTCCCGATCAAAAACAAGTCTGTAGAAGATGTGGCATGTTATCAGCATATATTCAGACACATGGCTCAGAGTTGGCCGACTTACTTGAGGGAAAGAACCGGGCCGACTTCGCTGAAAATTTCCTTGAGCTTCTCCTCGGTAGCCTCGTAGGGTATGTTGCCCACAAACACCGACCGCATGGACTTGTCCATAATACTCTGTTCCTGCGCCTTGTCTGCCATTTCGCTTCTAATGTTTGTTTTATTTGCCGCGCACTGGATGAATAGTAATAATTACAACAGCTTTACAAAATCGGAATGCGGGTTGCCAGTTGGCTGCAAATAAAAATTTCCCAATGATGCAGCCACACAGAGTTGCTTTTAGCTTGCGGTAGTGTTGAGAAGTGTCAAAATATGGTTATCATAAGTCTTACAACACTCAAACGCCTGGTGTTGTAATTTTTCGTTTTGTCGCAAGGTGAAATCGAAATGACGGCTATAAAATAGTGTAAAGTTTATCAAAATCGCTAAATATATTATCAAATTGTAGCTAATAAAGGCGTTCGACAGTTATGCATGAATATCCCTTGGAAAATCGACGCATAGTGCATGAAAATCGCGATTGAAAATTTACTTTGTGTGTAGCACACACGCACACACACATGAAGATAAACGCAGCAATGGCCTCGCACTCGCACTCGCATTCGCAGCATATATAAAAGCTCACTTGAATATTGAAGAAGGAGCGCACAAAGCAAAAGACGAGAAGAAAGATTTCTGTGTCATTGAACGAGGCGAAGAGGCGACGACCAGACCAGACCCAAGACCAAGGAGCCTCGAACAGCAAACGCAGCAATTACACACACACTCATACATAAACAGATGTAAGTGTATGTGTATGTGTATAATAACAGCTGCAGGTGCATAACTCTGCAGGGATACTAAGCTTAAGCCGCCCCCCCCTCAAACACTCGCCCTTTAATCGATGTCCACACAAAAACGTAACGATCGATATTGACGCCGCCTGTATCTATATTTATGTGTGTGTGTATATATCGCATACATATGCAATTACAATTCAATGTAAATTAGTAATCATTACACATTGTGCGTATGTGTGTGTGTGAGACGGCTCCTCTCTCCTTGAATGAAATCAAAGAGAACGAAACGAAATTGAAGAAACGCAAAGCGGAAATACTCTAAAATTGTGTCTACCTATCTAGTGCGTGTGTGTGTGTGCTTGTGTGTGGTGTGTGTGCAAGTGTATCAGCAGCACAGTACATTGTGCGTGTGTCGAGTGTGTGAGTGGAAAATCAAAGCAAGCGAGAGAGGAGAAAAACGCTGCCGCAGCTGGCAATCCTACGCAAGATCAGATCAACACACATCACAAACATAATTAGCAGCGAAGGTGGGTAAAGGAACTCCAACTGGCCATGAGAGTTGATTCATTTGTACTCATTGCCCAAAGTATCGATGCACAATAGATTCATACATACATACGCACTTTTTGATTCATACGACTCTTGTGTTCATCGCAGTTTGCATTGTGAGCTTCGCTCGAAAGAAAAATCAATAGCAACAGACGTAGACATTTGCGTATGTTTATTTCATTTTCTGGTTTGTGCAGCCCCAGCACAACCCTTATACGAGAATGCCCACATAGCACACACACACACCATATAAGAATATATAACAATAAGCAAAAGGAGAAAATTACAAAAATAATTCAATAAAAACAACGCAAAAAATTGACCATTTCCAGTGCTTAACAACAACAACAATAATAAAACAGATGAGCGAATTGATGTATGTTTGTACTCGTGTGCATATAAAACCTTCGTATGTATGAATGTACTATTGAGTACTTGTGACAAATGCTTTCGATATTTTCTCATTGGGAATGTGTACATACATGTGTGTATATACTTTTAATATTCCTTGATTGCTATAAGCAACGTTATTTATTTTCTTACGTAAAATTGATCGAAAGCTGATCGATAACGAAACAGTGCTTACGGGACAAAGAAAAAATCAGTTGCGTTTTGCAAAGTTTACACGACAAACAAATTAGATTTTGTTTATAGTTGACCAGCTGTTTATTTTGACAGCTGAATTGGTTGGCACTTAGATTGGCCGAAGCCGTGCTTTATCTATCGCAAATTTTTTTGTAAGTCTGCAATGGCAAATATGCACATATATCACAATATATATATAAGAAAAGAATTATACTTTTATTTGAATACCTTCTTTGTCATGACTTCCAAGCAGAATTATTATCGGGTAATTATTAGAAACAAAAATCATTCGAATATCACATTTAGTGATATTCATATTGAAAAGTCAGAGTATTGGCTGATTCATCACACTTATTGCTCACGCCCAGTGCGAATAACACCAACACGCCATTATCGTGATGTTGCCGTGTGCCCATCGTCCTCGTCGTGCTTAGCACACACGTTGATGGCACACACAAAAAAAAGAGGAAAAAAAGCTGTTCCAAAAGTTGTTATTGTTGTTGGCACAACAGGGCATTCCATTCCATTCCATTTGCACTCTGCACTGTGCACTCTTCCTCGACAGCAGTGCGGATGAAGCTTTGCTTGATATGCCGATGCTGTTGTTGCTGCAGCATACATGTGCACACGTGTAGGTGCGCGCGCGTGTTTGTGTGTGTGTGTATGAGTGTGCTTGAGAATATTTATGTTTATTTGTTTTTGATTTGTCTGCCGCACTTGTCCTTTGTTTAGACGTCTTTCACTCACTCTTCTGTCATTGACTGTCTGTTTGCCCTGTTTCGCTCTCTTTCGCTCTATCCCTGATTGCGAAAGCTTTCGCTCTTGCTTGGATTGCATTGCAAAGAAGAATATTGTTGCACGTTTCCATAGATTACGTTGCAGTGATCCGGCCTTAAGCTGCAAAAATTCTTTGCTCTACCATATCAGTTGGATATATATGTCGGTATCAGCTTACGGGAATGGGAATGCTTACGTTACTCATACGTTATTTGTTTATATAAATATGAATATGTACATAAATGTGGCAATCACGTTTCGTTTTCGGTTTTTATTTTACTTGCAGCAGCGCCGCTCAAGGATTGAGCAAAATGGCAACAACGCGAACAGCAACAGCAACAAAACTTACAGTTTTATGACTCTGATTTGCCTGAGAGAGAGCGCGAGAGAGTGAGAGAGAGAGAGAGGGACAACGAGAGCTTGAGGAGGTAAAGAGCAGCAGCAGCATCCGCCGCCGCCGCCGCGTTAAGCTTGAGATTAACTGTGGGTGAGTAAGCAAATTGTCTCATCATCATCATGGTGGACAGTGTGCAGTGCCCCGTGTGCACCTTGTATCTGCATGCGGGCATGAATCTCTCGGATCACTTGGAGACACATCCCAAGGAGCAGGTCATCAAGGCACTGGTGCAAATGACCATTGCTGGCAACAACAATGGTCTGGACAGCGCCCTGGCGGCAGCTGTCATCTCCAGCAGCAGTCGCTGCAGCGTTGCCTCAACCGAAAGCGTCGCCTCAACGCCGCCTGCTGTTGATGTCAAACCAGATGTGGCATCAGTACCAACAGCGACAGCAACACAACCGCCACAGCCACCCCAACCACCACCAGCAGCAACAACAACAACAACAACAGCAGCAGCATCAACAACAAGCACAGCGCAATCAACAGCACCGAAGGCTGTCGCATTGCTGGACAACGCCAGCAGCAGCAGTAGCAACAACAACAACAACAAATTGAGCAATCCACCGATTAAGGCAGTTAAGAGTGCGCCACCCACGACTGAGGCGCCAGCCACCACATCCAACAACAACACACCCACCATAAGCAACGTGTCTGCTGTCTATCCGGCAACCCTGACAACCGACTATCGCTACGAACAGCAGCAACAGCCACAGCTACAGCAGCAGCACCAGCAGCTGCATGGCTTTCCACGTGGCACCACCACTACACTGGTGATACCACAAGCGCCGCAGCAACAGCACCACAATTTTCTGGCCAACCAACAGCCGCCTGCGCACTTTGCCCACCAGCAACAGCAGCCGCAGTCGACCATGAAGTTCACGTATGCAACAGCAGCGTTGCCTCCGCCTCCCTTGCAGGTCAGTCTAAAATTGAACATGGCTTAAAAGTGCTCGTTTGGAAATTAGAATTGTCCACAAATTAAAATGATTTCATAATTCGAAATCTGTACAAGTAAATAGAAAACAAAATAATATATTTTAAAAATATATATGTTCATAATTCGATATCGAGCAAATATAAATTTTTATGAATTTCGAAGAAGACACATTTCGAATACTTATTTTCATCAATCTGTAGAGTTTTTAAATGTTTTTCTTTTTTAATTTACACTCTTAAAATCGATTTTTGATATTCCCTTTGAAATGAATAGATTTTATTATTTATTTTCTTTCTTTCTTATTTCCACGCGATCACAGAATATTCCAACAGAAATTTGCTAAATGTTTACATCTTCTTCTTCTTCGTATCCATAGCTTTTTGCACAGCAGCCGACGGCAACGCAGCCGCATCAGAAGCCTCCACCCGCCTATGGCGCCGCCATCAGTCAAATTCGATCTCAGCATAACCAAAACAAGCAACAACACCAACAACAGCAACAGCAACCACAACACATAAGCGTACAGCAGCATAATGCAAATGCAGCACCACCGAGTGGCAAACAACAACACAATAGCAAAATCCATGCGGATATCTTTCTGAATCCACCGCCACCGCCACAGCTCACAATTCCATCGTCGGCGTCGGCGTCATCGTTGTCGTTGTCGCTGTCCCTGTCGTCATCGACCTCCTCAAGACTGCAACATCCCCAACAGCACCACCAACAATCCCATGCGGCTAGCAGCAGCAGCAGTAGCAGTAGCAACAGCAACTATGCAGCAACCAGCTGCACTCCCAGCTCCTCGGTTGCTCCGATGTCCGGCACATCGTCGGCACGCGCCAGCAGTCGCCAGTCGAGCAATTCACCCTTTGGTGCCCTGCTGAATGCGGCTGCGCACGCTGCATGCTCCTCGCCCGCTTCGACTGGGGCGTCTGTGCTGCGCTATGCCGAGTCGCCAGTGGCCCACTATCTGGAACGGGATAACGGTGATTTCATAGTGCAGGAGACGCCCAAGCACATTGTGGAGTGTGTCGAGAAAGACGACGGTGAATTCTCCGTGATTGAGCGCATCTATCAGTCGCCACCCAGCGTTCTCCACATACACGACGACGACGAAGAGGAGGAGGAGGACGAGGATGATCAGCAGGGGTAAGCCATGAACAAATTGCATATTAATTTTGTGCCTGCTGTTGTGGAAAAAGTATATTCAAAGATTTCTCAGCTTTACTACGTACGTTTAAGCATAATCATATATATATATATATATACATTTGGAAAATATATATTAATATTGCAAATATATTTTCCAGTTGGGCAAACAGCGATGAGGAAGATCACGTCAAGGTGCCACACGAGCATGTCGAGGATGGCGATGATGAGCACGAGGATAGTCGCAGCCGAGTTGCACCCAAAACGACAACGAAAAAGTCACGCAAGACAAAATCGAGTGGCAGATTGCACAAGCGCGCCTCCAAGCATCAGCTGGCCACGACGACGGAGGACGAGGACGATTTCATGAGCATAGGCAGCAGTTGTGCCGAAAGCGAGCATCATCCAGAGGAGCAGCTGCAGCAACAGCAGCCGCAGCAACAGCATCCGCAGCAATTAGCATCGGCTGGGGGGGCAGCCCAGTTGGCGGCGAGCTCATCGCCAGCTCAACTTTGCACTGCGCCCTCCACGAGCAGTGGAGCTGCTGTTGCTGCTGCTGCTGCCGTCGCCGGCAGTGGTGGTAAATTCATGGCCAGCGGCACCATCAAGTCCAAAAAGAATCGGGTAACGGTGCTCAGCGATGTGCCGCTCAACATGAACGAGTATCTGGATCTGGTGGGCAACATTGTCGCCTCGAGTCGGATTGGCGCAGCGCGTCCTTTTGCCGCTGTAGCGCCCATACCGCTCGTCAAGGTGGAAAAGGAGGAACCCATGGATGAATATGATGCCGTTGAGGTCGAGATGCAGTTGGAGCAAAAGCCCAGCCTAGAGCATGCTAGCGGCAGCAGCAGTAGCAGCAGCAGTAGCTGCAACAGTAGCAGCAGCAACAGCAGCAGCAGTGGACATGGCACCACCAGCGTGATACGCATGGCTAGCACCAGTGCGGCGAACGTGGCCGCCGAGGATCTCACACAGCCGCTGCCGATGAAGGTGGAGGTGGAGCCAACGGCGCTGCTGCCGCAACGCTTCTCGGCACCGGGGCAGCTGCGTGGACCCAAGAAATTAGTCATCAAACCAAAGGCCACAGCGACGGCAACGGCGACGTCAACGACGAAAAAGACTGAGAACAACGCTGCTGCTATTGCTATTAGCAGCAACAGTAGCAATTGCGCCGAATCCCATAGCATATCAGTGAATACGCCCGCCGAGCTTGTGCAGATCAAGAGCGAGAACGTGGAGGCGTCCACATCGAGCAGTGGCAGCATATTGGAAAAGCATCTGACTACCAGCTATGCGGCACAACAGGCGGCACGCAAGCACTCCTCCGTCAACGATGACGATGCACGTGTCCTGCTCGAGTTTGCCAACTCGAAGCAGCTGCCGATGCCGGGCAACAGCAATCATACCACGTTTGTGGTGAACGCGGCCAGTTTTGCGTCAGCCGGTTCCGTATTTGCCAGCGGCAGCAACAGCAGCGGTGTCAATGTGCAAAAGTCAACCAAGCCAGGCTGTGGCGATGAGTACATTCTGCCCGATGACACCAAGCTGGAGGTGGATGAAATTGTGATATCCTCCTCGTCTTCCTATGCCTCCACCTCGCAGCAGCAACAGCAGCATCTCCAACAACAAACACAACAGCAGCAGCAGCAGCAACAACAATCTTTGCAGCAGGCGCAACCATCCGCCTTCACTGAGTTTAGTTTTCTGTACCACCAAAACACAACAACAGCAACAGCAGCTGCAGCAGCAGCGGCAGCGGCAACAACGGCGACATCTACTACTTCCAACTTTGCACCGTTTGGCATTCAGCAACAGCAACAACAGTTGCAGTTGCAAAATCATCCGCAGCATGGGTCCAGCGAGGCAACCAATGCCGCAACGCTTGCATCCTCGTCGAGCAATTCGTCTGCATTGGATCAGGAGTGCTCGATGAATGCCTCATTTCGCGTGGCAAAGCCACAATCAATGCTGGGCACTTGGTATCAGCCACATCAGGCGCAGCATCAGGTGACATCTTCGCACAGTCCACAGCATGTGGATCAGCCGAGCAATTTTATTGCGGCTCTGTCTGCCGTCGACTGCTGCAGTGCAGCCGTTGATAGCGATATGAGCGAGGCTAAATACTTGGATCTGGATGCCTGCAAGCGGGAACAGCTGAGCAACAGCAGCAGCCATATGCCATCCGCCTCGACATCGACCACATCGTCATCGTTTGCTGCCGCAGCAACGGAGAGTAGTCTCGTCGGTGGCCTGGGTCTGAATATACGCACCGATGAGAAGATGCCCGCCAAGGGTGAGATTTCCGAACAGGAAAGCAACTGCGACATTGAGAACTCTTGGAGTCAATCGGTGAGTGGGTCCTGAGAAATGCATTAGATGTCAGCATAATTGAAAATTAATAATTGCAATTGTAGATGTATGGCGACATATCACAGCGTTACTTTAGGAATCAGTTCACGGATGGCTACAATCAGCAGCTGGCCGATTGGCGTCACGACTATTATCCGGCGCAGGATCTCAGTGGCCAGCAGCAGCAGCGAGAGCAAAAACGGTAAGTTGGATATTCGCTTTGCTGCAGTATTTCAAGTCATGGTTCTCCTTTTAGATTTGACTTCAATGCGGTCGCCTCGGAGTACACACAGCCGGGCGAGCTAGAAGCTTCCTCGAGCTCAACGAGGAACAATCATTTGTTGGATGCACAGCCCACCACTTCCTCGTCGTCATCGGCTTTGTTGGCTGGTCCACCAATAGCCTCGACATCCCGCGCTGCCGCCGAAGCGGAGGCGGTTGCAGCAGCGCTGGCTCAACGGAAGCCAGCACGTCGCAAGATCTACAAGTGTCCACACTGTGTGGCCATCTTCGAGAAGCTAAAGGAGCGCAATGCGCACATGATTGGCGAGCACAACTATGTGCGCCAGAATCGGCGTCTCATCTGCACGCAGGCGCTGGTCAGCGCTGCTATGCTCGCCCAGCCGCTGGCTCAGCAGTCAGAGCAGCAAATGGAGCTGGAGCAGCAGCAACAGCATCAGTTGCTGCAGGTGAGCCACAGCACGGGCGGCGCCGAGCACGAGGATTCCAAGGATGGTATTGTGAAGATTAAACAGGAACATTGTCACGACAAGCACGATCCAACATCGGAGCAATTGCTTGGCCACTTGGAGCTGCCGGATGTGAAAGATGCTGGCCTGCTCGAAACCAGTGGTGAAAACGGACGCGATGCGGACATGAAGCCACCAAACACTGTTGCTGAGCTTGACGAGAAACCGACCATAGCACCGCTAGCCATGACGACGCCCGCTGCCAAACTGGCTGCTCTTTATCGCATGCTAATTGCCTACAACGAATCGAAGCTGGGCCAGGAGCGCAACAATCTAAGCGAACTGGAGCAAAAGGCCATGGAGAAATCAATATTCTTGTGCTACATTTGCCGCACCGATTTCCCCTCTGTGAAGCTGTACGATGCGCATCTAACCGAGCATCCCGCCGAGTGTTTTACTTGCGGCAAGAAATTCTATCGCTGGAAGAACTTCTCGCTGCACCTGAAACGCCATCTGGGCTGGAAGGAGTTTGGCTGCTATGTCTGCGACAAGAAGTTTGTGGTACGCAGCGCTCTCGTCGAGCACATGCGGATGCACACTGGCCAGACGCCACTCAAGTGCAAGATATGCGGTAAGTGCCACAGTTCAAGTGTGGCATTGATTGTTAGGCGTATTTACGCTTATTCCTAATTCTGATTTGTATTCTTAGGCAAGAAGTTCAAGCGATACTCGAACTTGACGCAGCATCGCAAGCGCCACACTAAGATGACGGTGCGCAAAAAGGAATATGTGTGTCACTGTGGCGAAGTGCTGCCCTCAAAGGCCCGCTTCCTGTGGCACAAGGAGACGCACGACTTGAAGCCCAAATGCTGTCCTTACTGCTGCGATCGTTTCGTGCATGCGAACTCGTTGCGTCGACACATCCGGCTGGCGCATTCGGACAAGTTCGACTATGCCGAGCCGATGGAGTGTCCCATGTGCAAGCAGATCTTTGCGAAGACATCGATTAAGGCGCACATGGCGACGCACTCGACGGATCCGCAATACGATTGCGCCATCTGCAACAAGAGCTTCTCCACCAAATGGAATCTCAAGATACATTCGTGGGTGCATGCGAATCGAACGGCCAAACCGTTCAAGTGCGAATACTGCCCGAAGGCGTTTGTGCGCGAGTTGGACTTCAAGAATCATATGAATGCGCACAAGCAGATCAAGCCGTACACCTGCGAATATTGTGGTTGCAAGTTCATACGCAAGTACAACTATATGCGGCATAGGCGGGAGCATCATGGCAACAAGAAGTTCACGTGCGATCAATGCGACAAGTCTTTCCATCGCCACTACTATCTGATTGAGCATCGGCGCATTCACACTGGCGAGCGGCCCTTCCACTGCACCATCTGTGGCAAGAGCTCCACCACAAAGACCAATCACAACAAACATCTGAAGATTCATCATTCGCGCGATCCCTTCACTGTGGAGGTGTAAATGAATAAGGCGACTCTAATTGACTACAAAATCAATCTAACTAAAGTTTAATTCATTAATTAGCTAGCTGTTCATGGCTCTTCTCTGTGTGTGTGTAATGTGTGTCTGTGGTTATGTAAACAAAACAAAACAAAACAAACAAACAAACTAGTATTACCTATCGAACTATATGCATATATATAGATATATGTACGTATAGTTTAAATATGCGAATGCCAATTCTTGATAAACAACAAAAATGAAATCATTATATCATAATAATAACATTTTACTAATCGTACATTTGGATGTGGTTTAAGAGATTTAGATAAATGTGAAAGTGTTTTCCCCTCTATCCCTACCCCCACAATTCCTGTTTTCCTCTAGGTAACCTCACACAAACTCACAACGCTCACACTCGACACAAAACACTTTAAATTCGCAACACTTTGCTTTAAACACAAATTTCAAACAAATTGCTTTAATTTTATTTAATTGTAAGCAGATTTATATTAGTGAAATGACATGCCTAGTTCAGTGCAATATTCATCATTATTATCATTTAATTGTATGCTATAATTGTAAACATCTCAACTTTAGTTCGGTAACCATAATTTTATTCATTTACATTTATACATATTTTATGCATAATTCGTAAGTAAAAGGCAACACAAATATAGTTAATTTAAGTTAGCTACAATTGGTTTAACTATACATATTAATATGTGAATTCTTTTGAGTTTTCGAAACTTGAGCACATTCTAAGCCACCAAGAAAACACACACACACACACATAAATATATAAATACATATATAGAACAACAAACTTTTGGCAACCGACCGTTTTAGAAATTTGTTATATAATTTTCATATTTTTTTAAATTAATGTGAGACAAACTCTGCCAGCGATCGAAAGTAAACGAACACAACTGTCATATTGAATAGACATAAACACAAAAACCATCTCGATGTATGTAGCGAATATATATATATATATATATATATTTGTATTTGATTTGTAGTAGTTGCAACTTCTCTAGGCTATTTTGAATAATTGTTTGCGATGGTTTCGATTATGAAGCGATTAGTTAAAATTTCTAGTTTATAAGCGAACACAACACTGCATAAGCATTCTGGTAATTAATTCAATAATGCATTACATTATGATATGGAAAATAACAACAAAAACAATCGAAAAAAACAAACAAAACCACTTCAAATATTTACAACTTACATACAAATTTCAACGTGAATTAATGAAAATAAAAACAAACAAAAAGCCCTTTTTGTGGAAGAAATAAATGCAATTTATGGATAATTATAAAATCATATCTATGTGGAGTTTTTATTGGAGCGGGTCCTTGTAATTCTAACGAACCATGTTCTTTTAAAATTCGCCAGGAAATTGGCTGAGTTAGAGCTCTTTTCGTGGTTGGAGTGCCGCCTAAGGGTATGCTACACTATGCCTTGATAGAGGTTTTTAAGGATAGTAGGCTTAAGGGGCGCAATTCCATTAAAAAGCTGTTAAAAAACTGCTTTCGCTGTGAACAATTTTGAGATACAAATCTGAAACTGACCCGAATTGAGTTGAGACAAACGCATGCATATACACACATGCATACGTACACCCATCGTAAATAACTGGGCTCTGCAGAATGGCCAGTTAATCAAAAATATATGCATATGTGTATTAATTACAAGCGTCTGTCTTTAAAATTGTGGCATGATATTCGTGAACCTATATTCCAAATTTGCAGTCTCTGAGACCCCCGTGTTCATACAGATGCACATGATTAGATCGACCCTGATCAAGAATATATAGAATTCATGGCCTTGAATAATCTTCCTTCTGTTTGCACAAAACAATTATACCCATTTTCAATGGGTTCTGGGTATAAAAAAACAAGTACAATATTATAATATTCTTTGACGTATTTATTGATTAAATAAGTGATAACATAAATTTGGAAATACATGTTCATAGATGTACGAAAAAAACATAAAAGTGGATATTCATTATTCCATAATCAATATGTATTCATCTTAATAATATAAGGTGCTTAAATAATGAAAGTCTTGTCGCCATTCTAACGACTTCTCATAAATATTTAGTTAATATATGTATTTAAGAATTGTGCGGTAAATATATCCGCGAGTCAATTAACGGCTGGTAGATTAGCTCCTTTTTGTATTTATCCTCAAATAAATCGATCTCAAACATATTACCGTGACGAACAAGTGGATAATGGACGCAAGCAAACACTGTGGGGTAGTGGTAAAGATACTGCTGAAGCTTGCTGCGCGCAAATGAGTCTGTATACTTTGTGTTCAATTTGACGCCATGCAGCTTGACATGGAAGGATCGCAGCGGAAACATGAACAGCTGCTTGGGCATTACTTTGAGATCCACATAGGGCACCATTTCGATATCTGGGAAATCAATATAGCATACGGTGGCCTTTTGGTTGATTTGATGCAGCTCTTTGACAATAGCGCGATACCATTTATTATCCAGGGTGTAACGTGCCAGGCACAGTGCATCCACTCGCACAGGTACCAGTTGGGCAGCATCTGTAATCAGTGCACTTGTCTCCCGGGCTAGAGCCATTTTCTGTTTCGAAAACTCGGTAATTTGTGGCGATATCTGGAGTTCAAGGGCGGACAGCACTTTGTCGATGCTGCACGGAAAGCTATTGACGCCAGTGGGCAAACATTGTGGCTTGATCCCGTCAATGCTGTCATTATATGAATGCTGCGTGGAAGTGTCCATCGGCGAGAAATGAGCGCTACCCGACATTTCCTGTTAAATGACACGAATTGTGTGTTATTCAAATTGAAGAACTTATATATTCGGAATTAACTACAAACCTTGCAACGCAGCTGAAAACTATGACGCAACTGATTCAGGGCTGGATCTAGGTCAGGAACTGTAATGTTCTCATCATCCTCATTAGCAATGCCCTCATCGCTCTCAATGGTGTTGTCATCGGAGAAGCCATCGGCTAAAGTCTCCTCCTCATTATTATCGTTTTCATCATCATTATCGCTGCCATCATTTTCAAAATTAACGCTCGTTTGTAGCTGCTGCTTTGCAGCATCCTTACAATCAAAATCTTCCTCGTACTCCATCTGTTGCATCATCGCTGTGCTATTCATCAAGTATTTCTTCATCTCTTTGCTATTCATCAAGTATTTCTTCTTCGCTGGCGGTGGCTGAGCCATCGTATTGTTTTGGGCAGCAACTACTTTTGCCTTTGGCTTCATCCTACCCAACTCAAGAAGCTCATCGAACAGCTTGAAGCTCTGCAGTGCATTTTCGCGCTTCTGCTGTTTAATAAGCTGCTCATCCTTTTGCTGCAGGGGTGCAGCCAACTTGTTGTTCACCATCATGGTAGATATGTCCATGTCGCACACCTTGATTTGGCATTGTGGCAATCCGTTGATTCCTTTGGCCTGCACAACACGCACGTTGCTCAGTTTCATGACCACGCTTCTGTGGACAATGTCAATTGCTTTCAAGGTGTATTTGTTTTGTATGGGCTGCACACCATGGATAGTAATCGGCCAGCACATGGCATTTACGTGGGGAAAGGGCGCAAAGGGTACCATTTCGGATGGCAACACCAATTCCTCATTGCCATAGTCCACATAGTATACCTTGTGCTCTCCCAGAGCGTTTTGTTCGCTTATCACAATGCCGCGATAGAAAAAATTATCCAAGTGATAGATGGCCACAACAGGTTGACCGACCACATATGTGGTCGGGTCCAGATGCTTCAGCATCGGCTTGAAGTGATCTAACATCAAACGGCGCATTTTGTGCATAAATGGTGCATCGCTTGTCAGGCTTAGGTAAATCTCACAGTTGTAATTCACATATGTGGGCATGGCGGTAAAGAGCGATTTGTTGCACTCACGTGGCTGCAGCCAGGCCGGCGGTGCCTTCGTGCAACCAATGAATGCGCTTATGTTCAAATCATATAGCAATTCTGGCGGTAGCATTTCGTCATAGTGCTCCAAACCCAAGTTTGGCAATGCATCCTGCTGCGAGCGATTCCTTTCTAAAATGAAAGTGAAACGTTGTTTCAATTTGGATAAGAAAGCAGAAAGAACAAAGCTAAACGATGCATACCTGAAAATTTGTTATACTTCTCAATGAGGATTTTTTCGTCATCGGAATTAGGATCCTCGGACAACGTGCCGTTGCTGCCTGTACCTGCCGTTAATGTGGAGCTTATATCTAGTGATTGCTTGTTGTGATAGCTGACGGCCCAGCCGGCTTGCACTAGTGCAGCATTTATGCTCGTATACGTGATGCGTGCTGGGGAGAAGGGTCCCGAGATCTCAGTGCTGGCGCCCCACAAGGTGACCATCAAAGAGTCGCCTTCACGTCCATGTCCCGAGACTTTCAGTGAGCTATATGCCTGCAGCTGTGTTTTGAAGAACTCAATAGCTTCAGGGGACCACTTGTCGCCATTGGGAGCAATGCCATACAAATCGCAGCGGATGGCGCTGTTGCTGACCCGACCCAGATGCTCATCCATGATGACCAGACTGCTGCCGCGCAAGCCCAATGCCAGCTCGCCAATATCGCGCAGTCGAACATTGTATTTAAGATAGTCGTCACCGTTGGAGCTAACAATCTCACCGCGATGCCAGAGAGGCTCGAAATCCGCATAAGCCCTAGTGTTGACGTAGCACATCTCGCCTGGCTGCCAGACAGTCTTCGGGCTACACATCTCGTACATCTCTTCGGCAGCTGCCTGCACTGTCTGCCTCAGATCAGCAATGGCGGGCATAAAGTGCGCTAGGGTCACATAGAATTCGTTTGGATGCTGCACGTGGAGCACCTGAATGGCCGATCGATTCAATTTACTATCAGTCTTGACAGGCAAGGGCTGCTCCAGATACCCCTTGGACTGCTGTATCAAATTGAGCATGTCCGCATCCAGCTGCGACTGCCGCTGCAGTAATGGCTGCCGAACTTTGCTGCTTTCCCCGTTGGACTGGCAATGGTTTTGGTCAATTAGCACAGCGGCCACGTTGATGCTGTCGCCGCCGGAGGAACGCGTATGGTGTAAGGCGACATGGGTCACCTCGTCGGCCATAAATGTCACCTCCAATTGCAGCTGGGGATTGGAGGTTATCTGCTTGAAGGCAGCAATTGCAGAGGGTGTCCAGGTATAGTTATGCTCCTGCAATGTCTCCACATCTGCGAGACGACACTTAATAGCCAGCTCCTTACACCAAAATTCTTTCGGAAGCACAAAGAGATTACCCCAATAGAGTTTATGCGAGACGCCGATGTCCACCAGACGCACAGCCACGAACCCTAAGAATCAGAATGAAAATTAAGTCTGATATCAAATAACTGTATAGCTATCAGCTGACCTTTGGGCAGCATTTCCACTATACAGCCACGATGCCATTCACCATCCAATTGTACCACGCAACCGAGATGAAGACGACCCAAATAGATGGGCTCAAGTCGGGTAAGACTCATGCGATCCATGAAACATTGCAGCTTTTGCTGCATTTCACAACGTTTCCTTTCCAGTTCGTGCGGCATTACATAAAACTCCTGCGGATGCTGGATGTGCAGCATTTGGACTTTCAGCACATCTCCCACACGGGGCAGAAATTGGGGCAATCTTTGCGACTGCAACGCAATCAGTGGCAGCGGCCTCGGAATCAGTGCAGTGGCATAGTCTTCGGATGCACGCGCCAGGCCAGTGTATAAAAAAGATTCGCGCACCGAAATTTTGGACTCGTAATTTTTGGTTATGAGATCGATCTCGTAGAGCTCTGGCCCCAAGATGCGCAGCACGGTGATCTGCACAGGAAAGCTGACGGTAAAAATATGTATTTGGAATATATTAGCTTTTGTAATTAATTTTATTATATATTTAGGAAACACAAAAACCAAAAACTGATGGGGTGAATTTCTTATTGGAAACTACAGTGGTATCTGGTAATTTAGAACCTATTGGCTAATGATGACTCTATTTTAGGTAGTCCTACTTCTTGTTAAAATGTAAAACGTATAATAGAATTTAATAATTATAAATGCTGCTATGCTTCACGGTATTTAAAAGCATAAATATTAAAAAAAAAAAAAACACATTATCAAATTAAAATACCACAAAATATGATATCGGAGTTGGAGAAATATTTAGTGGCAGTTAAGTAGATTAGAATATAATATAGAATATAGTTCTTAATCGCTATGCATTTAGAATTGGTTCAAGTCAACTAAAGGAAATTTGAGTTAGAGAAGCTTGACTGCAAGTTGGCAACGTACTTTTTCACAAGCTGCTTAAGAAAGGCGCCAGCCTCTGGCTTCCAATCGCAACCATCGCTGGGCATCAGCTGCTTCAGGCTGCAGTGGACTGCGGCAAATGGCAGATTCGCCAGACATTCGGGCAGCTCAAGGAATCTGAAAGAGAATTAAATATAAGAAATGTTGGATTACAACAAATAATTATCCTACTTACTTGCTATAGTGCACCTCACAGTTGAGGCCGATGTCCGGCAAGAAAACATGATAATTATCGCGCTGATCGGCCTTCTGGCTAACCAGGGCGCGATGCATTTCCGAATGGCTGTGGCATGTGATATACTGCTGTCCCACAACAATGACGCTGGGTGGCCGGCAGGCGTCCGATTGGGCAAATGCCGCCAATTGCTCCCGTATGCAATGTGCCGCTCTAATGCACTGCACATAGAAATCCTCTGGGGATTTGATTGTACGCACGTAAACATGTGCATCTGTGCGAAACCAATCGCCCACGTGGTGGCGGGCCACAGCCATAGCATTGGCTGCGGATTCGTTGCCTCGGCTAATGTCTATCCCAGAGAATGTCTGCACAAATTCAGGCTGTTGTGCGTTACGCTCGCTGCCCCAACTGATGTTCATTAAGCTAATGCTTTCCTTGATGTTGTTTGGGGGAACACGCATTTGCTGCTTGCCGCGAGCAGAAATGGTTTTTGTTCTTTGGCCCGGCCAGCAGTTGTTGCCGAAGGAGCTCAGCGCAGAATTATAGTCAAGAATAACGCTTTGGCGATCGTACTCATTGTAGAACCGAACCTCAATTTGGGGATCAACAAATTTGCACTCGAAATGTGTCTCAAAAATCGTCGATATATTATCCATGGTGCAGCGAAACCTGAAAGCGTACCACAAATGATTTACGAAATTAAAGAAAAAACGATGTGGGAGCATTACAACAAACTGCAAGCTACTCTGTTGCCAGCAAAATAATATATGGTCGATTTACTACAACATATTACAAATTTTGGTAGTTTCAATTGTTTTTTTATTGTTAGTCTAGAAAATAAGTAAGTAATATTTTTGGAATTTTAAGTGTTGTTATTTCGGTTAACAAAAAAGGAATTTATATTTTTTCAGATTCGCAGAGACGAAGTATTTTAAGCGTTCTTCTTTAAGATCGTCAGTATTTGCAAAGTATTTACAACTTTACTTGTTAAAGAATTGCAGAGATATACGAGATTATTTAAGTTTAAACGGTCTACCTCCAGAATTCTTATGGAGTACATAAGTAATCCAATATATATATAAGTTGTGGACTTACTTAAATAATTGTGGTTGGTTTTAATTGATTTTTGTTGGCATATATTAAATAGATAAGCGGGAAATTTAATTTTATTAAATTTTATATTTTCACTTACTGATAGGGGTTGTTAGAAGACTTGGTAACGTGCACTTGGGTCGGCATCTTCTCCATGTGCTCGTTTGCTAGGCAAATAACATCCTTTAGCCAAATGTCCTGCGGCACCTCGCAGCCGCTTTGCAGCATTTGTTTTAGGCTCTGAGAAGGAAGGAAGATATACAATGTGTATTAGGATCGTAGCTGTTTGCGGTCAATGCTTACCTTTAGGACTGTCGCATAGCCATTTAACTGGCTCATTGCCATATCCAGTTGCATCTGCTGCGGCAGACTGGCCTCGCGCAGCATCTCAATGACCTGCAGCTCGGCATTTTGTAGTTGGCCATGCAGCAGGCGGAAGCAGTTTGAGATTTTGACCAGCGTTTCACCGGCAAAAGCGGCTAAATTCTTTTTAGAGTTCTTTACCACCTGCAAATAGAAAGGAGAGTCAGTTGCAGTTGACAGATAGAAGTCAGTGGATGTGCTAAATGTGTGTTAAATGACATTCTAATGACTGCAGCCAATGGCGACAAACAGGCAGGTGAATGGAGAGCGGCATATTTGAGTTAAGTTTGTTAATTGTGCAATGCTTCTTCGTCGAATGATCATTATCAGTCAGCTAGTCAGCATAGCATGGCTTGTGTTGCTGTTACTTTTGAAAGTGATTGTAAAACCAGCCAAAAATAAGAGCTACATTGATCTTATGACAGCTGATTTGCAGCAGATGACAGGCAAGTTCGCGCCAAGCGTTGCCATTGATCGGTTCTACCATAAATGGCAGGCAGACAGTGCAATGTTGTTATTATTATCACTATTATTATTGCTGTAATTGTTGTTGTTGTTGTTGGCACATCATTAAAACGAAACACAGCTCTCGCATCAGTTTTTGGGGCAGGGCGTCCGAAATGGTTATAGTTTTACATGCATTTGAAGTGCCCGAAGCGAGACATGAGACACGATGACTACAACCATGAGTACGACGACTCGAGTTCAACTCAATTCACACTTGACCTTGTCCTGGCATACAAATTGAAATGCTCTATCGTCTGGCCTAATTGCTGAACAAATACTATGCGGCTATAGTGTGTATAACCACACTCGTTCTCAGCCACTTGCCAATTAGTTTTAATGGTCAACATATAAATAATCAGAAAAAAACAACCAAATTAATTGTAATAAACTGCAAATTTTTAGTGCGCACTTCTCAAAAATCTCAAGTCAGACTTCCTACGCAGTCAGCGATACTTTTGGCCAGACTCTGACGAACTTTGTAGAGTGCGCTCAGACAACTTTACGATTATCATAACAATAATAATAGCTGGCCACTAAAACCACAAGAGTTGAGCCTATACTTTTAACCAATCAGAGTCAAAGCGCTCTCGATCAAGCTTAAAGTTCTTTAGAAAAATACTATAAAGGCTTGTACGAAATTTTGATATCCTACACTGAATGAATTTTAAGATAATTGCTATTCTTATGAAAACTATATAGCAACAGCTATTAAAAAAAAACCATTGCAAATTTAAACTACAATTTTCGCACACATTTCTCGACTGCCAAAGTTAATTAATTTTTGCTTATATCGTTTGGGTTTTAAAAGTAATTACAATGACTTTATACTTTAACTATTGGTAACCACATAAAAATGTGTTTATTTTAAATTAACTTTTGTTTATTTAATGCGAATAAGGAGAGATTGGAAAACGCTCAACGATTTTTGGTTTGTTTGTATATTTCTACTTTAGGGTTTCATTTAATGGTGTTCGATGTTCATTAGGTCGGTCGTGTTGTATATTGCAAAACAACCCAACTCACTAAGGAAGCCCACACAAATCTTGAGGCTTACCAAATTTTAGTTGCCAATAATTTGCTCACAACTTGAACCGGCGCATTTAGCGCATATTAAAACAATTAGCGAAGTAGTTATTAAAAGTTAAAAAAATGATAAACATAAAAAAATAAAGTTAATTGCGCGCAATTTCGCTTAGACTAAACCTGCGTTTTTTCTTTAATAAGCCGTCGACTGTCAGTTGAAGAGGTAAGTAACTCAGTCAGCCGTAGAGTAAGCCACTTCGCTTTTGCCAGTTTATCAATTGCGGACAGACAATTGGACAACTGGCGCTTTGAGCCGCCTCGTTAGCCACCGATTTCAAATTTTTGTTGATTTTATTCTTTTTGTTGTATTTGGGGCGTGCCGCAAAGTTATAATGAGAAATAAACTTTTGCTATTCGAAATTTGTATTTTTTTTTTATATAATAGATAATTTGTGTAGTTTCCTTTTTATTTTTTTGTGATGTTTAATTTTAATGGACACATGTGGGCGACGACTCTGGGAAGCGAAACATTTTTTTTTTTTTTTTTGCACTCTTCGACTATCTAATGAGATTATGATTTATGTTTATTGTGTGAAGCCTTGAAGGCTGCTTCTGTCTAAACACAAAAAAAAAACACAAATCAGGCTAATTAGACATGCTGGCCAGCATTACGGACAGCAAAAATAAATCAGGCAGCCATTAAAATGCAGTCCAGACCGAAAGTGTAAAAGCAAAGATATTTTTTCTTTAGTGTGACGAAGATAAAATACGCTTTCAGACAGATGACAATTTAATGATTAATTTAATGTATTGATTATATTTATATGTACGATTATAATTAGTAATAAAAGTTTTAATTTAAAAATTTGTGCAATACATCGATAAATACAAAAACAAACAATAACTTCGACATTTATTCATCAAGATAATAACAATTTCCTCAGCTTACTTTCAATATTTAATTGCCAATTAATTGGAAAAATAATTGATGCATGGCACATTTTGTGACCAAATCAGAATACCCTTTTTGCAAGTTTATAAAAAGAAGCAACTGCTTTAGTTGTTGTTTTATTTAGTATTCGTTATGGGAAGTCTGGAGACTGGAGTGCAAAGACATTATGCCCATGTTCTGTGGCAGCAGCAGCGACAACAAACTTGGCCGCAAGGTCAGCGGCACAGCGAGTTGCAAACAAGATGCTTGGCGCTCTCGATTAGCAGCACAGCTGTCTGCCACAAAAAAAAATAAATAAATGAAAAAAAAGTTGTATGCACAGATAAATAAAAATGAAAGGAGGCCTTCTGAGCAATGAAGTGTCGTTTTGTTAAGGTTTTCCGTTCTGGCCAAAACGTAACACAAAAAAAAAAAAAAAACTTCTTAATTACATGATTTGGAGCTGTGACTTTGGTTGAAATATTTTTGTGGGTTTGTATTGTGTGTGTGTGTGTGTGTGTGACGACGACTCGATTCAGACTCAACGCGAAGGTTGCTTATTGCCTAGGGTCTCTCTGAGATCGCTCTGGCGCTGAGGTGAGTGAGGCTGTGACTCATCAGGCGCTTTGATTTAATTTGATTTGCAGTTGCGTAAGGCCATGTGTAGTTAGCACAATTAAAAGCCAGCCAGCCAGCACAGCACAGCACAGCTGAGAGACAGTTTTTTGGAGGCACGACAAACGAGTTAAAGACCAGGCTCAAAGCTAAGCTAAGCCAAGTGACTCAAGTTTCGACTCAATGTGTGAGTTGAGCTTGTTGCTTGTTGCTGATTGTTGTTGTTGTCGTTGTCTGGATGCTCGTTGCAAAAAAATTCAACAACACAATTGAAAACAGAAATCAGTTGAAGCTGAAACCGCCAAGCAAACGGTCGTTGAGCGCGTCCCATCCAACAACAAAAACAACAACAACAACAACAACTAACTTGGCTGAAAGCAATATCATTGCAACTGACTTGTAATTGCTTGCAACAATTGTGGCAGCTTATATACAAAGTAAACACCACATGTGCAGCAGACAAACCCAATAACAATCACAAAAAATATCAAATTAGAAGAAAAACACCAAAAAACAACAAACAAATGTGAATGTGAATGTGTTTAACTTTGTGTGTGCGTGTGTGAGTGAGTGTAAGTGTGCTTGTAGTGTAACACTGGTGCGCTATTGTTTGCGGCCAACCGTTGCAGCAACTGCAACTGCCGCCCGCTATTTTGGGGCTGTATATTAGGCAACAACATACAACAACCAAGAGCAACAGCCAGCCAACTACTTACAGCAACTAGCTACGTTTTTGGATCGAGTCATGCAAATTTAATGCAAACACTTTTATCTTTTTGGCGTGTCTGTGTTATTGCAATAAAAAATTGTTGTTGCCGCTGCTGTTAATACAAAAAAAAAAAAAAAAAACGTTAAAGCACTTTAAATTAACTACTCGTTGCATTGAGCGCGCTTTTAATCACGTCGAAAGCCACTTGATTTTGCCAGAGGCAAAAAAGAAAAGTCTATCAAAACAACAAACAAGTTGGGCAATCAAGCAACAGGCGACTTAGGAACATTTTGTCGTTAGCAACATGTTGCCAAGGATTACGTTCGCTGTGCTGATCATCTTTTGTGGATATTTACTGATCACGGGTAAGTCGCCAAGTCCTGTTAACCATTAATCATAAATGTTTATGCAACAGCCAACAGCCAACAGCCAACAACAACAGCAACCAGAACATGAATTACGATCAGAGTTGTTGCTGGTGTTTTATTGCTGTTGCTGTTGCAGCTAAATCGAATTACAGCAAAACGCGAGTTAAGCGCAATAAATTTAAGCAGATTAAATACATACTACATGAGGCACAGAGATCAGAGCGTGGACACGCGGTAACACCACAGAGCCGCCTTGATGTGTCAGATGCCAGAAAAGTAAAAAGGCGACAACAAACAACAACAAAAAAGCGTAAGCCAAATTAAAGACGGCATGCGTGTTTGACATTTATGGTCAAGTCAACACGTCAAGTCATACTGAAATTTATTTGGCTTATGGCAAGAGGCGATCGGGCCAAAAGGAGACTTGCAACATATGAGCAACAGAGATCTGCCTTTTACGAGTGCCACGCAAATCGACGACAAGCTATGCAGCAAGTTATGTAACTGATGCCCAGCACCCATGCAACACTTTCGCCTATAGCAAATTCACTTCCAATCCAAATGCAATATAAATATATATATATATATATATGTATACTTATAATTTGCGCCAGGAAAGTTCTTTTTGACATTTGACATTTGAGCGGCGTTGAGTTTTGTTCAGTTTTGTGGCTCACGAAACTTGAAGGTTGCCACCGTCCGCACCCATGAAGCTGCACGACAATCCATGGCAATAGGGGCGAGGGGAGGTGTTCGACGAGAGGAAGCAATGTTTAAAATGAGATTTAATATTCGTTTGCCATTTCGATTAGGTGTGAGAGAGTTCGATTTGCGTCTAATTAATAGTCGCTTTGGCATTGCATTTTTTATTATTACTCAGCTTTTTTGTCCATTTTGAGTCAAGTTGCCCACATACCGCAAAAGCGAGTGGCAAAATGTCAAGCAGTTGACAATTGTATATATTATACCCTATAGGCAAACGAAAATGCCAAGATAAGGGCGGGTTTGGCTTGATCGATGGAGCTTCCAAATTTGCAATCTAAGTTCGCAAAATAAATCAAATATTTTACAATTTATATCTGTAATAATTTTCCAAATTATAAAAACAAATTGGCTTGTAAATTATGGCAAATATACTATTTGTATAAGAACCGATTATTAACGTGTTCTGAAACAGGATATTTATTAGTCGAGCATTCGCGATTGAAATATGCCTACATACATACAAATATATATGAATATGGATATGTTTTCTTTTTTTATTGTTATTTTCAAGTCAGACATATGACACTATAATGCTTTATGATATATTTAAGTGGGGGCAACTGCATGCAAATGCCGCAAAACAACAGTCTGGTTATGGTAGACTCGACATCAATTTCTAGTGACATCATATAAGAGGCCAATTGCAGTATAACAATTATGGGAAACAAACACATCAGTTTTGTTAGACCTTTGACAGAACTGCTCAATTAGTTTTGCTGCATGCTACATCTTGAAATGTTGCTATATAATTGGTTATCGAGGCACCTAAAATGGATTCATCTAAAATCTTAAATGTGGGTCAAATATATGTTGAAATAATTAATTTCCGCAATGAGAAATAGCAATTTATTTTTATCGCCAACTTGAGATAATCAATTATGTATTATTAATTATATTCAAGCAGTCACGACGATTGAGTTCATAAATTTGATGTCTCTCATCTAGTGGATGCCATGCAAATGGCAAATCTGTTAACTTGATGTACCGCAACACAATCGCATTAGCAATTCACAAATTGCCGCGGGCAATGGCGCGTATACTTAATGCAACGACAATATGGACTGCGACTAACAGCCTTTTGTTTGGTCTAAGATCGAACATCCGCTAAAAGCTACAAGCTAAAAGCGGAGAGACAACACAAATTCCAACAGCATGTCAAAACATTTGCCATCTATAAGTATGCAAATGATTTTCAACTATGCGGCGGCGATGGTTGCAAAAATAAATTTACGAGTATACACATTGTGTTATCTGGCTTAATGTGAAACGGAAACTTTTTTTTGAAACAAACGTCTGATAAAGCTTAACTGATATATGACGGCAATAGCTGCATAGTTGAGCCTATAAATTGAACTAGATGTCCGTATATTTATGCTGTTGTTGAAATTGTTTGTGAGATAAAAACTTTTCCTGCAGTTGTCATTTGTTCGCCAGGTGGAGTTGCAGAATGGCATTTGCATGTACGCAAAATTAATTGATTTATGGTTGGATAACACAAAAAGTGGCTCAGTGTTCGGGCGAAACACGTGCAAAACAATTTACCTGTACAAATAGTTTTTGTATTTATTATTTTTTGGTGCGTAAGTCAAACATTTGGCACACATGCGAAAATAATTTATGGACGGCTGTCGGACAGCCAACAACAATTCAACAACAGCAACAACAACAGCAACAACAAATACCCACCCAGCTGACTTATGCAAATGGCACAATGGCAAAAGCGATAAGCCCAAAAAAAAAAACAATTATAATACCAACTCGCAATTTGATTGAGACTCAAAGCTGATGGTCAACAAGTAATTTGGCCACAAATAGAAGGAAACAAAAAACATCTTTTCCATTGCTTTCAGCTAATTCCTTACAATTTGTGTTAAGTGTTAGGCTCTTTAGTGATTTTGAAATTAATTTCCGATTAATGTTATTGCCGTGGCATAATTTTCAATTAAAATGAAATTTGCTTTGAGCAGAGCAAATTGCAAAATATATATAGACATATATAAATGTTTATAAAAAATTGAGAAATATGTATAATACAAATTTGGATTCATTTATATTTATGACAATAAACTGCCTGTGGCAAAAGGCGGCTTTCGATGCAATTAATGTAGATAATATAATTTTATAATTATATACATATGTATGTTGATGGATGTGTATATGTTTTTTTGGCATCAGACAATTTGATTTACCTGGCGTAGTAGACAAGATATTAAATTGATTCCATTATTGAGCATGGAGCATCAATTTTGGGTGCAAAAGAAAATAATAAAATCGATTAAACAGCTCAAAATAATACATAAATCTGATTTGCCTATTTTTTATTTTCAGCTGTACAATAAATAATTTTTTATAGCGATATTAGGTTGAAATGAAACTATTTAAATAATGCCCTATTGGAGAGAACAATGATCAAAGAAACATTGTTTGTGAAAATCGATGCAGTTTGAAAATGGCTTTGGAAAAATTGGAATCGATCTAAAAAGTAAATTAATGCAATTAATACTCGGTTCGTGTTTGACAAAGTTATGGCAATATTAAATTTGATATATTTTTCGCTGAAACGCAGCAGTTATTGTGCAATAATTAATTTAAGAATACGTAGGCTCAGCCAGAAATGGAAATTGTGCAGCATTTCATTGACAATTATGAGGAAATAAATCATTTATAAAAACCCAAAAGACGACACAACACATCCTTTCACAATGAGGCCGCAAGCAATAACAACAACCAAATTAACCAGGGTAACAACAATTGGCAATGGCAAGTGACTGTCGCCACAAACATAATTCAGCACTGGGATGATCCATTGCCGACTCCAACTTCGATGGGATAAAGCGGCGAAAAATAAATTAAGCTCATTATACGTATAATTGAATCCTTGATAGGCTGATTATCCACACGGCTAGCCATGTGTCTCTCTCTCTCTCTGTGTGTTTGTTTGTGTGTGTCAGAGTGTGTGTTTGGGGGGGCTTGTGGGCTTGTACTGCTTGTTAAAAGGATGATGTCCAGTTAAGTGCAAAGGATGCCAGTGGACAGCACAAAAATTATGTAAATGAATTTCCTGTTGCGCATGTTTCTCTCCCCCTCTCATTCGAGCTAGCCTTCCAACTACAGACAACACATAAATCTGTCAGGTGGGTAACAATAAATACCCTCTGTTTAATATGGATTACGCCTATATATACCCATTCGAGTGTGTACTTAAAGTAGTATAATCAATGCATTGACTGGTTTTAAATTGCTGCAACCAAAATAACATGAAGAAAAATCTATTCAAAATCGTCAGCATTTCTTTAGTTAAGAATGATCGACTGGCAGATACTCTCTGGTCTAAGTCTATAGCGAAATATCATAAAAATTATACATTTTATATTAATTAAACATTTTGCAAGCCACTCTTATGTTTCCAGCTAGCATAATCTATAAAATCAACTGAGCTATATTACTAATTGTTGCCGATAAATGCAAAATAAAAATGCTTTCGACTTCCTGTTTGCGGTTCGATTTTGATTTTTGGTTACTGGGTATCCGTTCAAATGTTGTCGATCCCAGAAAAAAGCGCAACGAGCTCCACCTTTAAAAATGTGCATGTGCCTTGATCAAGCGTTGCGGTCTAGTCGTAGATTTTAACGGCAACTTCATGCAGTCACGATTCGATACACATACACAACACAACAGACACAGCCACAGCCAGACACACACAACAACAACAGACATGCACACATCAATTCAGTTAGACATTGGGTGTATGAAGCCGGCTCCTTAATCTATTGACTAAATGCATTGCATAAACTGGTGGCCAAACCTCAGCGGCGACGATTCCAAACCAAAACAATGCAACAAACGAGTTCGCCGTTGTTTTATTTTATTTTTTTCCTACAATTTTGATTTTCATTCGTGAAACGCTACGCGACGACTGCAAATAGCTCATAGGCGCTTTGTCTTGAGAACCGGCAAGCTTCCCTCCCCCTCCAAAGTCTATACGTATTTTACGGCCATGTCAAAAATTATGAACGCAGGCCATATCCATTCGATATGGGGCCACTGGGTTAGTCCGTTTCATGAACAAGTTTTTTTTATTTATTTTTTTAAATTTTATTTGCCAAGAAAATGTAAATTGCCAAATAAAATTGTACAGAAAAAAGGCCTCAATAACGGTTTTGGTTCTTTGATGCCTATCGAGTCTTTCAATAAACGCCCTCGACTGCCTTCGAACGCCATTTGGCCTGAGGCCAACACTAATTTAAAGGCGGCAAAAGTCGCGCATTTTTTTTTTTATTATAGCCAAATAAACTGCAACTAGCATTCTGAGTAGGAATTGGCGTGAATTGAGGTGATGAACTCGACGGATATGAGTGCCAAGGGGACGGATTGGTAACTAGATGGCATTAAAAACATTTATATTTTAGTTCGCATTAATTTTGTGGCAAAGCTAAGCAATTTCCTCAAATCAAAAAACATAGCCTGCAACAATTTTAGATCAGCTGGCAATATGATTAAGTAAAAATAACGTGTTTTAAGATTGTGGTCTAGTGTCCTGATAAATACCAAAAATATAAATAATGTTTGTTTCTAGACATTAAACATAATTTACCTGAATTTCTGTAACAATCTGTAACATGTGTGAGCAAATAAATGACATAAATAGTGTAGGATATAAAGAGAAAGACACAATCCTTAAATATTGCTCATATCCAAATAATAAATATCTCGATGGATGCGTATTCTCATGAGAATTGCATCGCCTGCAAGCCGTTTGTCATAAGTCAAACTCCAGCAAACGATTAATAAACAATAGCTAATTGCTGTTCTGCCAGCAGGAAAATAAACTTTACAGCTGGATGGAATTTGCCAAAGTTACTGATAAAAATGACAGGCGGAATTTATGTTGTGTGCAACGCAGCGGATGCGTCTACAGCCGGATATAGTACTACGTGCCTTAATAGCTACATGAGTAAGTATGTTAAGGCATGGGATTGGGCAGGTGTAATAGGCTTGGGAGTGCGTATGTGATTCCAGTAGCCAACTTTTATCAATAGCCACTAACTTGGCGAAACCAATTACAATTGTGAAACGTGTGGCAATGTGTTGTTGACTGTTTAATGTAGCAGCAGCTTTAGCTGACTGCCACAATTTGGTGTCGGCTCCAGAGCGTATGGCAATTAGTTAAATTATGCGACTGCAAAACCAAAAAATTCAATAACATTGGGGCGACGACAAGCCACGAAAGTGTGTGGTGTTGTTGTGTTTTCGAGTGGACAGCGTTTGCAACACATGAGCAGAAGTAGCAGGCTCGGTTCAGGTTACCTAACCAAATGCCAGGCCATGTGGCCAACGAAAATGGGGTGTGCCCCCAACAGTTAGCCATGATGCACTGCATCCGTTGGACAGCAGCAGCCGTGCCCAGTTCATTTCGCCGTCGTTCGCAAAATGTTTCATTAGGCGCAATATATATATATATATATATATGGATTTTTTCTAATGGCTACGCACAACTTTTGACATTAGGCCCGCTGTGAATGCGTAGCAAATACAAATATATTCATACTCGTAGATACATATCTTTTTTGTAGGCTTTACAATTTGTCGCCGGCTTATATCCATTGAATGTTGTTGTTGTTGTTGTGTGTGTTGCTGTTACTCGTTTACTGCTGCTGTGGGTTTTTGTTTGCCTCGCGACTCGCTTCTAATTACAATTTGATTGTTTTTCACAGTAATTATTTCAATTGTAATATATTTTGCTGTCATTTTTACGAAAATTTAATGTTGCAATTTGTCACGTGTGTTTTGGGGTGTGTGTGTGTGTGCGTGTGTGTGTGTGTGTGTATGTGTGTTCATAATGTGGCCAATAATACATTTCTCAATTGTATGCCTCTCTTGCTCAATGCTTATGCGTGTGTTTGTGGGTGCTGTTGGGTGATTGCATGTTGCATTCGGATTATGTTGATTTGATTTTGCTTTGCGCCAAATGTTACAGCTTTAATAATTCGAAAATGTTTACGTAATGTGAATTTCGGCAGTGGTTTAAATATAAACATCATTGAAAAATAAAAGCAACAAAAACTATTTGGTAAATACATTTAAAAACTGTGCTTACATTTGGTGATTTTTGTGATTACAGCAGACCACTTAATTGAAATGTATTGATTTAAAATTTAAAATGATATCACTCCAAAAAATGTAGTAAATTTTCGATAAGAGTTCTGGAAGTGCACGAAAAATATGTATTACTAATTTCAAAAATTTGTTCGTTAATAGAACAAAAAAATAACTTCTCCAAAATGCAGAAATAAATAATTGACTTGAATGACGACACACAATATATATATGCGACAGCTATAGCCACAAAAATTACAATATCCACAACAACATGAACGCGGTTGAGACAAACTGAGCAACAGTGGAACAAGGTTAAGGTCAATTGCATTTACAACACAACAAGCGACAACTGCCAACATTGTGAATAAGTCGCGAGAATTGTAGATTGAAATTAAGAACGAGTTTGCAGCTTGCAACTTTAGCGTGGCTAACGGACGGCAAAACCAAACATGCAAAATACTTGAAAGCAGGCTGAAAATGGAGGAAGCGTAGTTGCAGCTGCACTAGCCAAATCAAGCTAATTAGTTAAAAAAAAAACACAAAAGATAAAAAAAAAAAAAAACAACAAATTATTATTGTGCAATTACCGCCAAAGTTCTAGTCATCTAGTCAAAGATAATGTATTTTCCCACTGTTAAAGAGCGGCAAGGTCAAACATGGCAAGAACAACGAAACTTGTCAACATGGCCACAAAATGTTGCACAACATGCGACATGTTGCGTAATAGGCAACAATAAGCGGGTCAAAGCGAGAGGTTACCTTTGAACTGACAACAGACAGTTCTATTCTATTCTGTTTCTAGAGCTTATGGTCGAAATGATTGTGGCCAAACCCAAACAATGTATTTGTATCTTGACATTAATGCGATTCGCAATGCCTTCAATTGTTATGGCACAGGCCTTGAACTTTAAAATTTCGGTTTTTGAGGCTTGGTTGAACAAAAAAAATATAATTACATTTCGATTGTTGTTTAATTGAAGATTGCCGTGAAACAGAACGTTCGAAGCGGACCAAACGCCCACGCGCCCCGGAGCCGGTTAACTTCGAGCCAGAGCCACAGCAGGATCTGGAGAATGAGGACAATGGCAGCCAGGAAAAGGATCTGCCCGAAATACCCGACAATTTTTTAAGTCCCTCCGTCCGTGAATATCTGGAGCTGGGCAAATCCATACCGGGTAAGTGCACCGGGCGGACAGCTCAATCAATATGCGCGACTGGTCATCATTAAGACCATGACAGAAACAGCCTAAAACAACGGCAACCCAAACATGCACGCTGGGGGCAAGCTGTCAGAGCAAAACATTTTATTTTTTTTTTGTTCCAGCTGAAAAATGCATTTTTGGCCACAGCAAGCAGTAGAAGTACAAAAACAAGAATTACGATTTTAAAATTATTTTTCGAATGGAAAATTTGGCACAGAAGTGCATCTACTCGTAAATTCATTTATTAGCGAGCCGAGAGCTCAGTGGAATCAGGGTTTTTGGGGGTTTAAAGGGGGAGGCCAGCTCAAATTTGTTTATGCCAACATGCAAACGTATTTTTTATGCGCCAATGTCATGCGTGCATTTGACATTGTTTTTATTTTTAGTCAGTCGCTGGCATCGATATGCTTTTCTTTTTTTTGTGCAGCTGCACTTTCTTTGAAGTAAAAAACGGCATGAAGTGAAATTGATTGGGAAGCAAACCAGCAGACACACATGTTGTTTATTTGACAGCATTAATTGCAATAACCAATAACCTTGCAGGTCGACCCGGCGTGGACTATCCAATACTCTCTGCTGTCCCCTACACGAACTTCTACTGCGATGAGCAATCCTATCCCGGCTTCTTTGCGGACATGGAAACTAGATGCCAGGGTAAGTAAACAGATGCACAGATGCAACTGAATTGCACTAGAATTAAAGCAATGTTATTTTTTTTTGACTAGGCTGGCATTATTGTGACATTGATGGACGCCAGGCCTCGTTTCTATGCCCCAATGGCACTCAGTTCTCGCAGGCTGTCTTTGTCTGCGACTGGTGGTTCAATGTGCGCTGCGATCTCTCCCCACGGCTCTATGCGATCAATGCGCGACTCTATCAGCGTCCAAAGGTGAATCCAACGCGACCGCATCGCATCATCACCAAACAGCTGGTCGAAGATATATTCACTTGAACTGGAAGTTATTTTAATGAACTAGTTTATCGACGACTATTAGTTAGTTGCTGGTTAGTTTAAGTCTGAGCTACAGGCATATATCATGAGATGTACACAGAGAGCAAATACAGCCGTAAATTAAGCATATATTCTTGAATCAAGCAAAAAATATATATATTAAAAGTGAACAGAGAGCAAAATTTATAAGCCAGAAATGAGCTTTTAGGTTCAGCCCGATTTTTTCATAATGAACAAATTTGAAACAATTTTTTTGACTTCTTACTTATTTTTCTCATTTTTAATATCACATTTTTGGTTTGACATATACATTTTCCATTCTAGAGCGAAAAATTGTTGAATTAAGTTCAGTAAGCTTGCTTTTAGAAAGAAATTCTTTCTCTTGGTAGATGTTTGTGAGAAGGATTTGTACCACAAAAACTTTACAAAATGTATTGTTATGAATGTAAGTTGAAATACAAATTTTAAGATATTTTACAACGTTATATTAAAACAAATATGTACAGATATCCTTATATATCTAGGAACTAAAAATGATTGGGAATTTGTTCAACGGCAGAATTGTTTTTCAAAGTTCATCATAGAAACTAAGAATCAGAAAACCGAATTTCCAACTTGTGCTAATTTTAATGTGCATGCATTTCTGCGCTAGAACTAAGTTTTCATATACATATAGTCCTAAGTTGTATTTTTAAATGTAAGATTTTGTACATATGTACATATAGTTCGATTGATTTAAATAAAACCTATTCATAAGTAAGAAGCAGAGTTTTTATATTTTCTGAACCAACTTAAATTGAATATATTATTATCGAGTCTCAACTAAATTTGTTGGAAGTTTACATAATGCAGTCTCTTAAGATGAACAGCCTTTTGTTGCATACTTCCAGGCACAGATGAAAAGTGTGTGCGCTTCTAAAGTGTTGCATACTTTAAGCTGCTAAATGTGGTAAACTAAAAATAAACTAAACATGGTCAAAAATAATTGCGGCGCGCTACACAAATTTGGCAACGGAAGACGTTCGTTCATGTGGCTCAATGGTCTAGGGGCATGATTCTCGCTTTGGGTGCGAGAGGTCCCGGGTTCAAATCCCGGTTGAGCCCGGCACATTATATTTTAGCTGGCATTTTTGTGGCTACATTTTACGGCCTCCGGTTTGCGTTATGGTAAGTTAATTAAACAAACAAGCCAAGCTCGATTGGCATGTGGAGATATGTAAAAAGCATTGGGCTAACAGCTGCTGTTGCTGCTGCTGCTGCTGCAACTAACAAAATGCAGCTCAAAGAGATGGCTGTCGGCTGATTGGATGCAGTGGACTGCCGTTTGATCCAATGGCCGGGCCGAGACGGTATCTTACGACCCGGACTACGGCTAAAATATTTTCATTGCGAGCGAATCAACCACACATGCAACAACGATTGACTTGCCGATAAGTCATTGTGTTTAATATATGTATGTGCATGCGTGTTTGTGTTTGGGTTTCTGTTTATTTTATCGTCGACAATTGGAAAATTGTGAACAATGAATGTAGTATGCTTTGCCGGCTTGCACTCGCTTTTGGCCACTTAGTTGGCTGTTGCTGCTTCAGCTGCTGCTTGTATGCATGCACCAAAAGTGTGAAGAGATACAGAAACCACAATTAACTTGCCCCGAAAATCCAGCGATGATGTAACCGAGTATCTGCGTGGATAATTTCTCTTCTTTTGTGTGTGTGAAAAGGGGAAATTGATGACAAAGCCGCAATCTATTGCCATTAATAATTGAGCCAAAGAATAGCGACATCATCTGCTTATTGTGAAAACCCGAATTACCAAATCTAATAATGTTGCAATGCTATAACCACAAACCACTGACTTTCACATCGTGGTGCAGCGCACAAATCAAATCTGCCAGCGATATGCAATTTTCTGTTTTGGATCGCGGCCTTCGCCTCATCATTTGCCAAAGCGGTACACAAACGTCGGGCTTCAAAAATAACTAACACAAATCAAAATAAATATAAACAGCTGCGTTGGCCGATACACAAACCAGCCCGTTCGTTATCCAGCCGAACACCAACAGTATTAACAACTTCAGTCAACCAAAAACAGCTCACTCTTTAGCTCTAGTATTTGCTGAATTCATGACAGGCCAGGCCAGTCTACCAACTGGCGCTGTCAATGTACGAACTTAAAAACTATGTTTGCCTTAGAGATGTGTTCGTGACAGACAAACAATGCCATCGTATCTGTAACTGAAACTTTATTTCGTAAAATGCAAGAGAAAAATGCACTTAAAATTTGTAATACAATTAAAGATCTATAAATCATTTTGAAATTTTCAATTAATCCAATACATCTAGTTTCTGATATTTTGTGAAATCTGGCTAATTAATGAGATATGAGCGGAAATATAAAATATATTTGATTGGTTCGCAGTTTATTTATTTCAAAACTAGACAAATTGTACTATAAAGAGTGCAAAATGAAATTATGTATCGCACTTCGCCATCTCCCTTCACCAGTGGACTTGTTTTATTTGAAACTTTTGTCATGCATTTTTTACATTTAAAAGTTATGACACTGTGATTGGAGTTGCTGTTGTGTGTGGTACATGCGAGAAGTGCTCAAACTGTATGACGATTAAATGTCAGTGAACAGGCGGCTAGCTCACGATCTTTTTGGCTGGCAAACACATGGCGTATGTGCAATATTTTGGGTTAGTGCTTTGTAAATGGCAGCAGCAAACACAAAAAAACAACACACATAAAACATGGAATCTATCAACTGCAATTGAACTCAAGAAATTCACTTGTTGCTGTCGTCGTGGCGAACAAATTAGTGGCCGTTTGAGACGGGGTCTGAGGTGTGGTTTTAACATTAATGACTTCTGCTGACGGCCAAAAAAAGCTGCACTGGAACCAAAAATACACATTTTAATGAGGCATCGCCAGCAAACAAACAGCAGGTAGTCTGGGATCTGTCCGATTGATCAATGAATTGTTGCTACGCTTGGATCTTGAGCTGGTCAAACACCCAAGTGAATGCTGATCGGCTTGAAAAGTGAATGTAAATTCGGCTTGAACAGTGAAAGGATATTCATCTCAAGGTGGCCTACCTTAATGGATGTGGATGCTCTAATGCGGATTACACTGCTTAAGACTACTCCACATCGATTACTCAACCAGCAGGGCAGTTAATTTGCCTATCAATATAAATTTAATTAAAGTAGCTGCTGCTGATTGCGTTATATATCAAGTGACGAGCTGAAGAATTGCAATAGTGGCGCTCTCCTCGCAGTGAAATATGAGTGGCACCGCAAGTCACGCAACTGAGTGTAAAATTACATTTTCATTCATAAATAGATAGGAGAAAAAAACTGTAACACTTTGAAAAGAAAAGCGTTCACATTTTTTTTCTTATTCATTTTCCCTTAGGCATGAGGCAATTTTGCTGCAAGCATGTTGATTGTTTGTTGCTTTATTACGTGGGCAGCCGCCACTCTGGCCACGTACTAGTCGTAATATAAGCTGGCTCAAAAAGTCGGTTACTTGGTCAGCTGCAGGCAGAGGCACCCTCCACAACAACCACACTAATAACAGCAACAGCAACAGCAACAACACACAACCACCACATGCATCTCTCGTCACGCAGCTGTCCATAAGCAATGCAAGCAACAGTTGCATAAGATTTAACAAAACTATGTATGTGTAAATGTTTAAAATATTTTAAAGAATGAGCAGCAGACATGCAGATGTCTGCATTGAATTGATTTGATTGCTGTAATTGAAAAATTCATTTTTCTTACCTTTGCATAACAATTGCCAGCAAGCAATAACAACATGCAAAGGAATTGTGATAAGATGCCTTAAACAGGAGCTGAGCATTCCAAATCACTGTTTAGATATGTTATTTCAGTGAGCAATCTTTAAAATCTATAAATAATGCCAGTCACACAGTAATCAAACATTAGTAGTAAATTTGACACAATTTATAGATTTTATATTTCTTCTTTTGTGCTGATTGATAAAGACTTATATTTAAAATTAAATTTAAATGTAGTTATTTACTGCCAAACTTTGAATTGCACATATTTCATTGAATACAAGTTTATTGTGCTTTAAATTCAAAACTTGTAACAGAGAGTGTACCATTCAACACAAATTTGTTGTGTTTAATTAATTGAACCTTTTTGGATCACTGAAAACCTAATTGTTAATTCCAGCATATAAATAGAGCGACACTAAATCAAGGAACCGTATTGTTTATACGCTTCGGTCACTTGGGCAACTGCTGATTTGGCTAACTCTGTAATTGTAAATACACGCACATTCCAGCATATTCACAGCCAACCAATCAAGTTGGCAACACAACACAAATGCAAATTGTAAAACTACCGAGGAGTCTGCTAACCATTACAAGCATTGCCAAATTAAATGTAAATAACACGTTTGAATAAACAAACAGATCATCATGTGTGCCAAAAAATTGTAAATGACAGAAGCATGGCGGATGTCAGGCTGTAGGGCTGAGCGGGGTGGAAGCGGGCGAAAGAGTTTTTGACAGGCCGAGAGAGTAAAGTGCATTTGCATAATGACAATGCAATTTTAAATGAACGGAGGACACATGTCAACGAATAAATTAATTAGCTCCCAAAATTATTTATGCAGCAAACAAGCTGCTAAACCAAATTCACAGGCAATGGACTAGCACGAGTCGGACATGGTTTAGGCCAGGATGTCAGGATGCCAAGGATGACGCCCTTGTGACTGCTTCTGATTGACAGAGTGGTATTTTGAATGGAACCAGGATGGATGCGGGGGGTTAGGCACAGTTGCCTAATGTGGCAACTGTTGCCGCTGACCAGCGACACACCTGAGTGCCACACACATAGAGTGGAGTAGAAAACAATTCGCACATGTTCAAATTGATGGCAAGTGGAAACGACGTCTGCATTAATTGTATGGCTTAATGCCGAGAACAGAACATAAACATCGTAAGTAGCCTGGCCATGCTATTTGCACTCCTGCATGCGACTTCTGGCATCAGCCACAACTTCCTACTCAGCACCATGCTCACCATGGTCATATTTCAATTATAAAGAACTCAAAGGAAAACGCAATCGAACTCAAAGGCGTGCAATTTTCAAATGCCAATTGATTTTGCAGCTCTGACTGACTCCCCTCTCCGCCTCGTTCCGCATACACGCTTGCCTGTTGCCAGCAAAAATAAAACGAAAATCCAAAAAAAAAAAAAATAATAAAAGTGTATTTCCGACGGCGTTGGCGACTTGTTAGT